TGGCCCATTTTGCCTTCAGAAGCTCGAGGTGCCTTCCTCGACTCCTTCCACAGAAGCCCCAAGCACGGGGATGGGCAGCTTGGCTTCGTGAACCGACTCTGAACCCCAAGCACCTCAAGCGCCACGACTCACAAGAGGCACAACAGAGATAAAAGTCGCATCAGGGCCTCGAAACATGTGTTTTTTAACGTGCAGATCGTGCAGCCAGAACCGACCCAGCCCTCGGAGCTTCACGTGCCAGGATCCGCAGGGCAGGACGAACCCGCTCCCCCTCCACCCCCTCATCTACGTGAAGGATCCGGCGGACTCCCTTTCTCAGAGGGGCCCTCGCGCAAGTCTTGCTGGACCAACTCAAGGCTCGACTTTCAAGCGACGAATGCACAGTTGTGTACGTGAGCGGATGGTTCATTGGAACGAAAGCGCAAGTCTGCCATCGTCTGCCATAAGCCGATGGCGCTCAATCGCATGCCCCCAGAGAGACTTCCGGATGCTTCCTGAACTCCATGCACGGAGTCTTCGACGGGCATGGCCACAGAAAGTACGCCCGATTCATATGCAGCGCAGCGTGAGCCCGCTTGCACACCTGGCCCCTTGATTAGGAGACCCCATGGGCCCGTGCATTGTGTGGGGAGCGGGTATGCATCTAGATGCATCCAGAGCTGAGGTCGAAAATCCACTCAACTCCTTCCACATCCTTCTCCGACATCTCTTTGAGCCAACATCCTCCCTTTGGAGATTCCCGCATTCGCCAAGAGTCGACAACAAGGAATTTAAACCCTAAGCCCCTGATCCGTAAACTTCCTCAACCCTGGCACCTACCCTAAAAACCCTGAAGCTGCAGTCCTTCAAGGCGGCGGGTTCGTTCCCGTTCCCTGCTGCCACGGCGGCGGAACTTCCTGGTGTCTTGCGGGTACAGAGACTCCCCCACTTGTGAAACTGCCTTGGGGTACGGTACCGTGCCCACTTCTCACTCTACTCATTGCCATGACGCCCCCCTTCCCCCCCCCCTCCCACACCCGCACCCCTTCTCAACAAAACGGAACGGTCTAGTTTAGGTGATCTGTGGTAAACCGGGCAAACCAACAAGTTCAAAAACAGGCCCTAAGCGGCTCTTTTGATTGACAAAGCCTCGAAACCCAAATCGCAAAGAGCAGCACTCTTCAGAGCCCATGGGGAGCGTTCCGGGAGTTTCAGGGGCGGGGTGAGACTTTTCAAAGAAAGGAGTGTGTTCGGGTTCTGGCGTGGGGTTTCGGGGGAGATCTCGCCTCAAGCTTCTGAAGATGAGGTGTGACTTCTCAGGAAGCTCAGAGCACTCATGAGCACCATCAGCTGTGAAAGCGGGTGGACCTCTGACGGGGACCACGACATTCACACACGATTTTCTTTAGACGCGTAGTTCAATAACTCCCGAACCTTGCATGCACACGGGCCGCCTCATGTGCAAGTAGAGGAAATGCGACTGGTTTTCTTGTCTGTCCTGTGCGGAGCCAAGCGACTCTCTACTAGATGCCATCAGGCCCTGTAATCCTTAAAGCACTACCACTTCATACCACTTCCCAGCTTCGATTCTTCGACCGTCAATACGAAGCCTTGCTTTTGGCAGACTGGCATGAAAAGCAAACTCCCCCCAACTTGCCGATGTGACTCTACGGCCTAGGGCTGCAGGATTGCATGTCATCAATCTCACCGAGCCTTGAGCTTGCAACTGGGCTTAAGCGCCTGTAAGCTGTCCATTCCCGGAAGCTTCTGCTAGGGCTTCCCTGGTGAAGCGTCTCTCCTGCTCCTGGAATGGCGAGCTGACAGACACAGACCTGACCCGAGGAGAGATGATGTTCTTGGGGATGCGTGGGTTTGGGAAACTGGTGCGGGAGGGGTCTCATCAACATACAGTACCTTCTTGCTTGTCCCCTCCTTCGACTGGGTATTCGTGCGAGGTGCGTGCTTCTGTGTCTCACCCTCGGAGTACTCAGAGCCATGTTTAGGGTTTGGGACATAGAAGGAGCAAAAGTTTTTCGGCTGCAGCCTTGCCGGTTGAAAGATACTGCCACGCTGCGCTCTTTTATCGCCTTCATGTGCGCTCCAAGACTTCAAAAGGCTCCAGATAGAATTCGCAAGCCAGAAAGAAACTCTTAACTAGCCACAGCAGCCTCAACAGCTTGAGGCCATAAAGGCTTAAATCCCCAAGCTCTGGAGACTCTCGAGCTAGGCCTTGCCTTGCCAGGAGATGCTTCCTGGATTCGCCAGGCAGCCGCAGCATCATGGGGGGCAGATCCCGTGGTCGGTCCTTTGGGGGCGTTTTGGCCCAAAGCGGGCCTCAAATGGCCTTAAGACCCTCAGTGCCCCATCCCAGGACTTCAATCCCAATTGCGGCATGCCCCGAAAGCCGAAAGACGGAGACCTTAGAAAGCAAACATCGGATCCGAAATGCCCCCGTTCCCCTAGCCCCATGTACGGTAGTTGCAGTGGGAGGTTGGACATCATCTTTCACCCCGCTGATGTTTCTCAAAGCCTGCGGCCCGACCTCAACCAAAGCAGGAACAGCTTTGCACGCAACAGTCCCATCCTCACCGGTGGCCCTCATGAACACGAGTCGAAGTGCCCTAGAGTTCACTATCACAATGCCTCAATAATTAACTGGCGGCAGAGTGACCATACGACCGCTGGCCAGATCTGTGACGCATCCGAGTAAGGACTCCTGCACTTGCACTCTCGCACTCAGCTCCGTTCGCTCTTTGTCGTTTTCTTTTGTTACGTGGAGGGGGGGTCGGTCGGGTGAGTGGCTTGCTGTCAGTTTTGGGATTCGGAAGTTGTGTCGTCAATGAGAGGTAGTTCTGCAGCCTGCCTTCCTGAGGTTAGCCTTCCTTCGGCTGGCCTCAGCTCCTTCTTCGAAACCATTCGAAACCTATGCCCTCAGCTATGCCTGAACTCCCCAAACGACGCTTTCCACACAAGGGAATCCGAGGAATCCTGAATCGCTGGCCAATCCAGTGGCCGGGCAAATCCTGAGAAAGGCTTTCGAGATAGGAAGTCGAGACAGGAAGTCAATTTAGGGCCTGTGCAGGCTACAAAACACCCTTCAGAAACCGAAACAAAAAAGCTGAGGGGGTTTGCGAGGCTTGGGACCTCAGGAGCTGCAGCTGCTAAGAGCGCCAGGATTTGAGGGGGGAGGTTCTTGACGAGCTTAAGCATTTGCACACTCTCACCTCCGGGGGTTTGCAACGGCTGAGCTAGCAGGCTCGGGGGGCTTACTTGGTCAAGTGTTCCAGGATGCTGCTGTCAGAAGCCCGAGAATGCAAAGCTCCAATGTCGGGCTAAAAGGCTTGCGATTTCTGTACCGAAGAGACAATTGATGCCCGGCATCGTTTGAGTGTCGGCATGCCCAAGCGCATTTCTGCGCGCTCCGACTGGCGCACGAAGCGGATGTGAGCTTCCTGGCAGGGGGGCTGTGGTAGCTCGGGACCCTTTGGCGGACACAGGGCTTGAGGTGCTGCTCCAGGGCTAAGCGTTTAGGCATGCTTATGGGGAAGCCCAAAGGCCCCACAGCCTGATCGTGGACAAAAACAGAAGATCAACCCCACGGCTCGCTTGCAACCAAACATGAACGCCTCGATGTCGATCAGCTGCCTACTTGTGTCCAGCAGCAGTGTCAGCTCGGCAAGCTCGTCCTTAGCTTGAAATGGGCAGCCCTCGCACACGCGGTGGGTGTTCCTGCTTGGAAAAGAAAAGAGCAGTGCAAGCGCACGCGCACTGGAGCGTTCTAGCGGGAGTCAGCACGCCATCAATGTCCGAACATCCTTGGCAGTCAATCGTCACGACCGGCTGATCCCCGGATCATATGCGGAGAGGTTGGAAGACCTTGAAGGGCGCGGCCCCAAAAGCTAGTGGAAGCCTGTCCGGAAGCGTGCATGAGGGCCAGACGCGAAGACTTGGTGAGGGAGACTTCCTTCCAGTGTCACTAGAGAAAAAATGCCAGCTGAGCATCATACGCCTCCACGACTTCGCTGTCACTGCTGGCAGCAGAGCGGATGGAACCTGCAGCTCAGGCTTGTCAGCCCTGGCTACAGTATGCGTAGTCTCATCATCCAAGTTCTTAAGCTTCCAATTCGCGCGACCGCTCCGTGCGGTTGAGGTTTTCCTGCTTACTGTTGCTGCAACGCAAGGACCGATGCGTTGGTGACTGGGGGTCACACCCCTGCAAAAGCCAGTGAGTCTGGGACCCCAAAAAGAAAGGTGAGTGCTTTCTTGCATGATGAATACGTAAATCAGCTTGTGCTTTGTGCGTTAAGGTTGCAAGATGCTGCAAGAGTCTTCCAACCTGGCAGCAGTCACTTGTGACCACGTGATCCGGGTCACTTGTGCTCACGTCATGTCGGGTCACTCGTGTCAGCCTAAAACCCCAAGACCGTGACAGCCCACAACCCCTAGAGAAGCGGACGAGACCGTGACAGCCCAAAACCCCTTAGGAGCGGACGAGACTGTGACAGCCAAAAACCCCTAGAGAAGCGGACGAGACCGTGACAGCCCAACACCCCTAGAAGCGGACGAGACCGTGACAGCCCGAAGCCCCTAGAAGCGGACGAGACCGTGACAGCCCAAAACCCCTAGAAGCGGACGAAACCGTCACAGCCCAAAACCCCTAGAGAAGCGCACGAGACCGTGACAGCCCAAAACCCCTAGAGAAGCGGACGAGACCGTGACAGCCCAAAACCCCTAGAGAAGCGGACGAGACCGTGACAGCCCAAAACCCCTAGAGAAGCGCAAAAAGACCGTGACAGCCCAAAACCCCTAGAAGCGGACGAGACCGTGACAGCCCAAAACCCCTAGAAGCGGACGAGACCGTGACAGGCCCAAAACCCCTAGAGAAGCGGACGAGACCCAAAACCCCTAGAGAAGCGGACGAGACCGTGACAGCCCAAAACCCCTAGAGAAGCGGACGAGACCGTGACAGCCCAAAACCCCTAGAAGCGGACGAGACCGTGACAGCCCAAAACGGAGCGGACGAGACCGTGACAGCCCAAAACCCCTAGAGAAGCGGACGAGACCGTGACAGCCCAAAACCCCTAGAAGCGGACGAGACCGTGACAGCCCAAAACGGAGCGGACGAGACCGTGACAGCCCAAAACCCCTAGAGAAGCGGACGAGACCGTGACAGCCCAAAACCCCTAGAAGCGGACGAGACCGTGACAGCCCAAAACGGAGCGGACGAGACCGTGACAGCCCAAAACCCCTAGAGAAGCGGACGAGACCGTGACAGCCCAAAACCCCTAGAAGCGGACGAGACCATGACAGCCCAAAACCCCTAGAAGCGGACGAGACCGTGACAGCCCAAAACCCCTGGGAACGGACGAGACCGTGACAGCCCAAAACCCCTAGAGACGCGGACGAGACCGTGACAGCCCAAAACCCTAGAAGCGGACGAGACCGTGACAGCCCAAAACCCCTAAAGAAGCGGACGAGACCGTGACAGCCCAAAACCCCTATAGAGAAGCGGACGAGACCGTGACAGCCCAAAACCCCTAGAAGCGACACCGTGACAGCCCCCCTACAGAAGAGGACGAGACGTGACAGCGCGACGAGACCGTGACAGCCCAAAACCCCTAGAGAAGCGGACGAGACCGTGACAGCCCAAACCCCTAGAAGCGGACGAGACCGTGACAGCCCAAAACCCCTAGAAGCGGACGAGACCGTGACAGCCCAAAACCCCTAGAAGCGGACGAGACCGTGACAGCCCAAAACCCCTAGAAGCGGACGAGACCGTGACAGCCCAAAACCCCTAGGAGCGGACGAGACCGTGACAGCCCAAAACCCCTAGAGAAGCGGACGAGACCGTGACAGCCCAAAACCCCTAGAAGCGGACGAGACCGTGACAGCCCAAAACCCCTAGAAGCGGACGAGACCGTGGCAGCCCAAAACCCCTAGAGAAGCGGACGAGACCGTGACAGCCCAAAACCCCTAGAAGCGGACGAGACCGTGACAGCCCAAAACCCCTAGAGAAGCGGACGAGACCGTGACAGCCCAAAACCCCTAGAGAAGCGGACGAGACCGTGACAGCCCAAAACCCCTGGAAGCGGACGAGACCGTGACAGCCCAAAACCCCTAGAAGCGGACGAGACCGTGACAGCCCAAAACCCCTAGAAGCGGACGAGACCGTGACAGCCCAAAACCCCTAGAAGCGGACGAGACCGTGACAGCCCAAAACCCCTAGGAGCGGACGAGACCGTGACAGCCCAAAACCCCTAGAGAAGCGGACGAGACCGTGACGTGACAGCCCAAAACCCTAGAGAAGCGGACGAGACCGTGACAGCACGAGACCGTGACAGCCCAAAACCCCTAGAAGCGGACGAGACCGTGACAGCCCAAAACCCCTATAGAAGCGGACGAGACCGTGACAGCCCAAAACCCCTAGAAGCGGACGAGACCGTGACAGCCCAAAACCCCTAGAGAAGCGGACGAGACCGTGACAGCCCAAAACCCCTAGAAGCGGACGAGACCGTGAAGCCCAAAACCACTAGAGAAGCGGACGAGACCGTGACAGCCCAAAACCCCTAGGAGCGGACGAGACCGTGACAGCCCAAAAACCCTAGAGGAGCGGACGAGACCGTGACAGCCCAAAAACCCTAGAGGAGCGGACGAGACCGTGACAGCCCAAAACCCCTAGAAGCGGACGAGACCGTGACGGCCCAAAACCCCTAGCGAAGCGGACGAGACCGTGACAGCGCAAAACCCCTAGAGAAGCGGACGAGACCGTGACAGCCCAAAACCCCTAGAGAAGCGGACGAGACCGTGACAGCCCAAAACGCCTAGAAGCGGACGAGACCGTGACAGCCCAAAACCTCTAGAGAAGCGGACGAGACCGTGACAGCCCAAAACCCCTCAAAGCGGACGAGACCGTGACAGCCCAAAACCCCTAGAAGCGGACGAGACCGTGACAGCCCAAAACCGCTAGAGAAGCGGACGAGACCGTGACAGCCCAAAACCCCTAGAAGCGGACGAGACCTTGACAGCCCAAAACCCCTAGAGAAGCGGACGCCCAAAACCCCTAGAAGCGGACGAGACCGTGACAGCCCAAAACCCCTAGAAGCGGACGAGACCGTGACAGCCCAAAACCCCTAGAAGCGGACGAGACCGTGACAGCCCAAAACCCCTAGAGAAGCGGACGAGACCGTGACAGCCCAAAACCCCTAGAAGACGTGACAGCCCAAAACCCCTAGAGAAGCGGACGAGACCGTGACAGCCCAAAACCCCTAGAAGCGGACGAGACCGTGACAGCCCAAAACCCCCGAGACCGTGACAGCCAAAACCCCTAGAGAAGCGGCGAGACCGTGACAGCCCTAGAGAAACGACCGTGACCGAGAAGCGGACCGTGACAGCCCAAAACCCTAGAAGCGGACGAGACCGTGACAGCCCAAAACCCCGAGAAGCGGACGAGACCGTGACAGCCCAAAACCCTAGAAGCGGACGAGACCGTGACAGCCCAAAACCCCTAGAAGCGGACGAGACCGTGACAGCCCAAAACCCCTAGAAGCGGACGAGACCGTGACAGCCCAAAACCCCTAGGAGCGGACGAGACCGTGACAGCCCAAAACCCCTAGAGAAGCGGACGAGACCGTGACAGTGCGTGGGCACAAGTGACCCAGGTGAGGTGGTCACAAGTGACCAGTATGCCTTGCGCCCCCCCCCCCCAACGAAGCCTCCTAAAACGAAACCCACAAAAACGCACTTACATGCATTTACAGACAAAACGGGTGGTCCGATTAATTACGGGCCTAAGCCCAAGCCGACTGGGCACCCCGGCCAGATCCTCGAGAGTTGAGCAGGCTCTGGGGAATTGCGTCCTCGAAACTGGCCCACTCTGAGACCCACTCTGAAAAGCGACCTACAAAGCAACGAAAACAACTCCCCGCGAGGCGACCATCATCTCGAGCAAACAAGTGCAAAAGACGTCGCGGAGCGCTCTCTCCGCCTGCGTGGCATCCGGTTGCACGCGCGCCTCCGAATCTTCGGTCAGGGCAAGCCTGGCACTCACCCCGGGAAGCTGGGGTTCGGCGGCTTGGGGGCTGGGGGGCTTCCAACGCTTGAAGACTGGGGCTCCTCTGAGTCTTGTGGCTATTTCCGTGAAGGCTTGGACGCTGAACCCATGGGTGGACCATGAGCAGGGTATAAATGGAGAGCCACGACGCAGCGACCATGTCTAGCTACCCGTTGCACAGACCCAAAGGCCCTGCGGGAGCAATCTCAGGTGCGACGAAGCTACTAAGCTACCCTCACAGAGGGGTTTCTTGTTGGTTTCTTGGTGTCCCAATACGAACAGCTGAGCCGAACTCCAAGCTTTGTTAACCTTCGCCGCCGCGCTGGAGGGCTTCGGGCTGCCAATCACAAGCTGCGCCCAACCGAAACCGACAGAGCCGAACCGACCAAAACAGGTGCCAACCCAGCAAAAGGCCCCAAGACATGAACCCCAAAGCCCTGACTTCAGTCCAGAAGCAAGTGGTGCACAGAGTCTGTACCAAATAGGTTCGGTAAGCAGACCTGAGGCTTGAGAGGGTTCAGGGTTCTTAGGGTTTCCAGAGCTTTCGTCTTGTGAGGGCCTTCCGCTATTTGTGCACAGACGGGCTGAATCCGATGCATCGTCTTCTTGTCCCTTTAGGCGGAAACACCGACTTGACGTAGCTCAGCAGCTCGTGTGCACTCAATCTTTCCAGGGCCCATGCAACATGAGCTCCTGTGCCTAACATACCCCCCCAAGCCCGAACGCCCTCATCGTCAAGAGGCCTCAGAGCAGCAAGGGGTAAAAGGTGCTCATGGCTCCGGACCCTTCGGCCTTTTGGGCCTTTAACTCTTGGACCCTTCAAGCGCCTTGGGCACAGGGAGTTTTTATAAGTTTCAGGTTCATGGGTGGCTACATGTATCTGCTAAACGCAAGGCAACTGGAGGTCTAGCTTGTCGTAACTCTTTCGTTTGGAGTTCTTATAACCCTAAAACATGAGAGGCAGCAGGCAGCAATTCCAGCGCCGCGGGGCGTGAAAGACGTCCACAGGGACGGTTCGCCCAGAGGGCGATTTCCTGGTCGGCTTGTCGGCTGTCGAAACTTGCTTACGTTCGCTCCATCTCAACGTGGGAGAGACCCGCGAAAAATCAAAAAAAAAACAGGAACTCTCGAGTCGAACTAAGTCCGAAGCCTGCAATCCCAAAACCATGAGCCCAAACGCATCAGAAGCTGCAACAAACCCAGACATCATCCTAGCTGCAGCGCCACCCGAAGACATGGCGGTGTACTCTGCTGCCTCGGCCAACTAAGGGTTGGGCCGCAAATTCCTGCTGGACTCTATACTTTCCGGTGCATGGACGGAAACTGCATGGTTCGAAGCTCGAGGAGGCTACCGGCCGGTACAGGTACAGTCTGCCCGACTCGTCCACCGGGCTTACTAGTTTCGTGAAGCATGCAAAGCTGCGGGGTTTCGGGGTCAGGCTTCCACCAACACCCTAGCTTTGTGCTGTTGGGCAGAGGCTGAGGATTGGGATTCAAGAAAATGTCGACTTGGAGTGCGTAGGGTTGAAGATGGCTTGGGATTTCAGGGCACCGGGCTGACCGTTTTTGGGTTCCAGGGTCGGGCCGCTGTTCCGACTCTTCAGAGGCCGTCTTCGGAGTACTCCGCGTGAGGAAGTCATCAAACATGACCAGCGCGTCCTCGGGCCCAGGATGTCGGGGTCTGGTGGCCCTGGGAAACCAAGCCTCAAACGCCGGAACCTGGCTCGTGCTCCCTGCATGTGCCGTTTTCAAGGTGATGGTCCCAGGGTCAGCGCTCATGTAAGCCTCCTACGACAGGATACCAGGGACGGTTGTAGCATAGCTGCTAAGGGGGCTCTGCGAATACTTGCTGGTTGCCGTGCGCTTCCACGCCTTGCTGGTGCCTGCTAGTCGCTGCTAGTCCTTGAGTTCTCGATTGAACGCTTTAGGTCATTTCCATCTATGGCCATGAATCTTCGATCACTAGCCGACCCTGTGAAATCATGAGCACTGTGGATGGTTGGTCCGCAGAGTGAGTTCAGGGAGCACGTCCCCCCTTCTTCCCCTCCAAAGCGGGTCCTTGTCGGACTTGTCGATGAGGTCTGGGAACCTATGCAAGGCCCTCTCTGAGGTCACTTTTTGACTTTTGCAATTGCTTGGGCACTCGGGAGCTCTGACAGGATTGCAAGGTTTTGCAGCTTGGGCGAGGTTGCGGGAGGGCTACCCAACATCCTGACGGCCTCATTCAGGCCCCCCCCCCCCCCGCAACATAACCGTAGCGTGAGCCCGCCCGAAAAGATGCAATGCCCTCCAAGCAGCGGCTCCCCGACGAAGTCTCGCGTCGTCTCGAGGATGCGCTTGAGGCAGCCTCAGGTTTCTCAAGCGACCGAGCCGGCCAGTGTTTAGAGGAGTTCAGGGCTCTTGGCGCGCCTTTTTTTTGTGCGTTTCAGGTTCATGAGGAGACCTTGGCATCTTTTTTCGGAAAGGCAACTTTTTAGTAGGCTTGGCAAGACTCAAGGTCTTTACTAGAAGCGTCGGGCTTCCCGTTGTGGATTGGAGGATTGCAGCATGACTTATACTTCTCAGGGTTGTGGACATTTCACGCCTCAGGCAGTCGAGGCCTCCAGGCCACCAAGAAAACCTTTGAAGCTTAAAGAACGAAGCTTCGCCGCTTCGCCTTACAGCACTCGTCATATCCCAAAGATAACGGAAGGACCACGTCAAATCTCCCCAGGACCTTAGCCTCCGGGGCCTCCGCTGGGCTCATATGCGAACTGTGACAATTGCGTGATGTTATGAGTGTTTGGGGCTCTCAGGGCTCTCAGGGCTCACGCCAGGGGTTAACTTAAGGAAGGCCTTCAGGAGCTAGGACCTGTTGAGCAACGAACCTTCCAGCCGGAAGCTGCCAAAAACCTCCTGTAGGTTGTTCGATGAATGTGCGGTCAACAGCTTTAGTGTTCTCCCAAGTTGGTCAGGACGTGGTGGTCGGGCGTAGTCTGGCATGATGCAAGCTAGTCGCCGGCACTACCGGAAATCTTGAAGTCCCCGTCCAAGAGCAAGTCTCCGTCGCAAATGCCTCTCCTCAATTGTAGGGGTTCACCGGGTTCTTGGTAGGGAAACTGTAGCTATACCTGGTTGTGACCTCCCACCCCCTGCGTGCGGGGGGCTCGCTCGCTCTCTCGCCTTGTCACCTTGTCTTGTTACTTGTGTTTCCCAGGAAACCTGCCTAACCACACGGTTATGTCCTTACTTGGCCGGGTCCCTGAACGTTGTAGGGACCAGCGAAGCTCTACATTGGACCGACCCTACTCGTTCTGCTGTCGACTGTTGGGCCGACCGTCGTTTTGGCTTCGAGAATACTTTGGCCACCCAGTCGGGACCCTGACAGGTATCGCTATGTTTGCTATTGTAATCGGATATTCGGTCTTGTGCTGATGTTACTTCTCTTGCCCGTTGGGGACGTGGAAGGGTTTTGCGGCGAAAGGAGGGCAGAGCTTCATCCCTCGCTCGACTCTCATGGGTTGCGACGCTGTTTGGGATTTTCAGCAGTGCCAGCCGCGCTGCAACATCTGCCGGAAGCCAGAGATCAAGGCATCAGAATCCTGCCCGATGTGAAGGTTCTGTATAGGCGTTCCGGCTTGGAGATATTGCGCCTGAATCTCTTTGGTGTGAACAAAACTGTGGAATCCAGCATTTGAACTCAAACCTCGGCACTCCTTGGACTGGAAGGATGCCGCGATCCGGTCGCGGTTGATCTTTTCCAGCACCGCGGGAACCAAGATGTTCCTCAGCGGGGGGCGTAACACCCCGAGGAACTCAGGGCTCTTCGGGATCTCCGATTCGTTTCAGCCCTCGCGGAAGCGTGGACATGGGGGGGCATTTCCCCACATGTACCCCGCCCCCCCCTTTCCCCAAAAAACACAAATTCCTTAGTATAGACAAACCCCCCAACAAAGCGTGCCCTGTTTTCGAACCACCACAAACGGGAAAACAAAAGCCTTCTGCTCTCCGAGCCCCACCGGGGGTCCCAAGCGGGCCAAGAGTCAGTACCAGTTGAAAGCCCTGCTGAAACAGGAACCAGACGTTGATGGCTTCCACTCCGCAGACCTCAACAGAGGACTCGGGTCCCCAGAGGGGGCTCTTAAAGCACCCCTCTCCGTACGTAAAAAGATCAGGAGGCGAGGCGAAGTCTTACACCTGCTTGTTTTCTTTACACCTACTTACGTTGGGTGTAGAGTTTAGGATTAGGGCTCAGGGCGGCTTCTGTCAGCGAAGACCCGAAGAGAGAGACCACGCAAGCCCAGAAGTTCAAAAGCGACGACCGTTTTCGCAATTCGTGAGCCCTGACGTCCACAAGCGATGACAACTTCGAGGACGCCGGACCGCTCGCTACATCCCTTTTTCTCGAACCCCTTAATGTTGATGGACTTTGTGCGGGATTGTGAGAAAGATGTAAGAGATCTAGACTGCCTTACGCTCTTGGTCGTCTTGTTCCAAGCTGCGTCTCCTACGAACACTTGGGCACTTGGCTTTCAATGCTAGGAGATGCCCCACGCCGGCATGAAGAGCCCATTCTGCCCGGCAGGTAGGAGAGAGAGAGAGAGAGGCTGGTGCCTGGCAAGCTCAGCAACTTTCACGATCACCAGTTCATGCGATGTTTTCCCACAGAGTTCAGAAGAACACGTTCCGTAGAGATTTTGCTACCAACTGGGTATGCAATGCAACCAGATCAGGGTGCGGTGGGCAGGGATCTGGTGAAAAAAACGAAGCACTGCGAGTAGTACTGAAGCGTTGTGTTTTCATGCTACTCAGCTTTACACGCGACGTCTTCTAAGCCTTTTAGTCTCTCGAGGCACATGCCTGAGGAGTCCCAAGTGGGCGAAACGCGGAGCTTTAGTGCCGAGTGCGACAAAAGATTTCGCCGAGGCTTGAGTGTGTAAGTTATCTGAGTGCTAAAGCCCCTGAAAATCACCGAAAGCCGGAAAGCCAAAAGGCCTCTATGGCGGTCCAGACGTAAGCGGCCATGAAGCAGAAGGCAAAGGGTGCTGCCACCGCCTACAAGCTTGGACAGGGCTTCGAGGGCCTTAGGGCCAAGATCCCTGAGGTCTGCACATCCCCTGACTTTAAGTACAGCAACCCCATTTGGGACAGAGAGAGACTCCACTCCTCTGAGGATTCGACACCTTCGACACCTTCGAGACCCTACCTTTTACTCCCCCCCCCCCCCAGCCCCGGAGGTGGATCGTGGAACCCCTGCATGTCTTAGCCCCTTTGAAGGATAGATGCCATCGACAGCAGCACCTCTGCGTTCCCAAGGTCTAAGTCTTGGGGGATCCGGCATTTTATTTTAGGACTCAGGGCACAGTCAGCACTCCTTGTCTGGGAAGGAGATGCCCAGAACCAGCTGTGCCGCCACCGACACCCCAGCACGTCCAACATACTCATCCTTCCTCGGCTTGAGCTTCGATGAGGGGTAGGCTTTTTGAAGTATAGGGAACTCTTCATCAGCCTGGAATACGTGTTGGCAAAGCCTTTAAGACAATGTCCAACAGACATGTGGTCGGCGCTGTTAGCGGTTCCACACTGCAGTTGCTAAGGTGAGGGAGAGGAGGAGGTGCCAAATCAAGGAAAAGCATGGAAAGAGCCACTCCGGAGGATGTCACTGCCGCCCCTGAGTGCCTGACCACACACACTCCTGACACCCTCAAAGAGAAGCCGAAACACCCCCTGAGCTGATTCCCATTGCTAGGAATCCCAGACCCCTCTTGCGGCCAGCATGCGGGATCCAAGCCAATGACACCGTGCCCCCGAGGGCACCTGTGGATATTATAAGGTCTGGACAAGATTTGCGCGTGTATGTCTGTATACATACCAGGAAACCCCTTGTTTCATGGAACCTTGGGAGCCTCTCCTAAAAGCTTGGGCGGCGGGCTTCTAAGATTCCAGAACCTTCAGCCCCAGGGCCTTCCACACACCATGTGCAACCCTAGGATCCTTCAGGAGGGTTACTTTTGCGGGGGTGCGTTGCGCCGTCGACAAAATCCTTGGCCCAAGAAACGAGCACCTTCAGTCGGTCAATTGTACGCGAATTAGGTGGGAGCGATGCTACACAATTGGGAAGTCGAGATCGGAGCATTTTTCAAAACATGGATGTGCTAAGAGTAGCGGAGAGAGATAAGAGCAATTGATGGGCTGGATTTCGTTCTAGGGAAGAAAACGACATGAAGGGCCGGATATATTGTTTGAGGATTCTGAACAAGCAGGCTTCATGCCTAGCAGTTACACGCCGGATGTAACGCACCCCAGTCGTTCCTAGCAAGGCTACGGCAGTAGCAAGGACTTGAACACAGACCAATTTACACAAGAAGTTGGCTTCCGGCCCACAGTGCTTCGTGTTTTGCGTGGGTGATGCAGGGCCCTTGTAAGGCTTCCGGGTCCTGAAGCCAAGGGCTGCCTCAGGAACTGGGACGAAACCTGCATTACATTTCGCGTCTGCTGACATAGTGGGGATCAGAGCCCCTTGATGAAAGGCTGAAAGGGTTCGGAATGGCCGCACAGACCCACAAGGGCCGAAGACCCACGGCCCTAAAAATAAGCTCAACCCTAAACAGCTTCCGAAACCCCAGCTCGAAACTGATGCCCTCATTCTGACTGCCCTATGCATCACCAAGGCGCAGAGGTAGATGCCAATGCAGATGAATCGAACCTGGGAGAATCTTGCGGACTCCGGCTTCTGGGCATGGGGCTTCAGCGCATGTCGACCGAGCTTTCGAACCAAAAGCCTATACACCGCAACTAGCGGACGATTACCACGCAGCTGCGCCGCCATGCGTAGCCACATGACTAGCAGCAAAGCCTAATCCCAGAATCCGACATGGAAGGTTCCCGCTTCCAGCGACCCGTCGAATCAACGTTTCCAGCTGCGGTCTCAGGAGCACTGGAAGGGGTGAAGCGTACCTCGGCTGGGGCTTTGGGGGGAGAGCCTCCATTCAACGCCAGTGCCTAAAGAAGCACCGAAGAACCCCCAGGCCAAACTTGAAACAAGACCGACACCGTAAGCTCGAGGGCCCTTCGCCGTGAAGCCCACTGTGAAGCTCGGAGTGGAGCACAAGTTCTCTTAAGGTCAGATGTGGGGCTGAGGGATCTTCAAGGCTTAGCAGCTTGGCATGGCTCTTGGAGCGGGAAGGGGGGGCCTGGGGCTCAATCCTCCGTAGGCCGTAGAGGCGAAGCTTGGAGTCCTACGTCGACCTTAGGAGCTGCGGGTTCTAGCGACAACTTGGGCTGACTGACTGACAACCACTCGGATGCGTCATGATGGTCGTGAACAAAAGGAGTCGCATCAGTGGACTCCGAAGGGACCTGCGCTCAACCAAAACCTCAGTAAGCCACTTACGGGCCTCCCAAGAGACAGAGGCGCAGGCCCATCGGTACGGATAGTTAGCACACGGCACAGAGCCAAGGTGGCTAACCCAGTACCAGGGCATGGTGCCCTGGCTTGCAACGGCATCTAGCTACATACACTGCACAAGATACCCTCGCCTGCACAAAACTGACACTAGTCCGCGAGTTCGTCCAACAGATCTTGGACCTGTCTTTCGAGATTGCCCGGCGGGGCCTGACCGACTTTTTCGTCGCCCCCGGCATCACGGAGTAACTGCACAACAGCATTCTTCAATTCCGCATGTTCAGGTCCAAAAGCAAGAGTCAACCGTTTCATGGCGCGGTCATAGCAACGAGAGATACGACAGTGCAGCACGATGCCCTTCAGCATACTCATTTCTGGCACTGACTGGCGATGTCTGTCAAGGATGCTTTTGTGCTCAGCGGCCCCCTTCTCGCATTGCACCAGAGCCTGCGAAATCGCTGCCCACACGAAGAATTGCGGAGCGCCCAACTTGTGACCCTTGTTGCCCTTGGCTTGGTCAGCATAGTCTTTGCCCGCAGTCATACCCGCGGTGATGATGGGAGAATCGCCCTGGAAAAGAAAGGTGAGGAACACGGTGGCCATGACATTCCGGAGGGACTGGGCATTTGCCAGTCCGAGTTTGCAGCATAGAAGCATCATCTGCTGCATCTTGGTGTCATCGAGTTTGCCTTTGCCCCTGGCTCGCTTGGCGGCAGGAGCCGGTGCCTCACCCTGACGCTGGAACCATTGGTCCATGGCTTCAAAGTAGAATGTCAGGCCCTGGCAAATGAGAGGCAATGTGCCACTGAAGGGCCACAAGTGACGGAAACAGCTGCAAACACTCTGGACAAACCAAAGAAGGAGGTTCACGTACCAATACAGCTGTGTTACTCCCAATCCCCCGGCACAGGCCTGATTTGAAGCTGTTTTGCGCATGTGTTCTGGCTCCAGCTGTGGAGGAGAAAATTGCCATACACCAGGGGCATTGATTAGTAACCACGAGTCTGCGAACTTGCACCGTAATTCCATGAGCACTCCAACGATGGGTGGCAAGAGCGCGTGCATTGGGGAAGCAAGCGCCACATGAAACACCATCATCTGAAACAAAGTCGCATCTGTGAGTATCATCAGTTGGGCATGCTTGTGGGGATGCAGCGAGTGCTGCCTGAAAGGCTGGAGGTGGTATCGAAACGGAAAGGTATGACGAGGCAAGAATGCCAACATCAAGCAGCAGGAAATCATGTCGAAGCTCCGTGTCTGTAAAAAGCCGGATTGGCTTACCCTGCATACGAGCAGGAATGTGTGCTGTGTCATCAATGGCATCAAGGGCATCAACGTCAGAAACAAGCTGTACCAACCAGGGACTCGCAGAGGAATGGAGGCAACCATCATCGAGAAGCTGAGGTGTAGTTTCACATTCCATCTTTCCAAATAACAACGCCAATAGCTGAGTACTGGACGAAGGAACACGAACAATGTGTTGTAGCCATCGTAACCTTTGAATCCTAAGTGCAGTTTCAACCGGAACCAAACCCAGCCATCGCCAAACAAATAGGTTGGAAATAGACTTGTACGTTGTATCATCACCATGACAAGTTTTTGCACACGCTCGTCCCTGCATGAGTTTGCGACCATATAGTAAAATGCGCACATTGAGTACCTTGCACTCGGATCGAGCCAACACCAACGCTGAAAGTCCAGATAGTGCTGTGGAGTAAACCATACATGTAAACACCAAGATGCGAACACGACGTGGTACTCCCGGATTGTGCCAAAATCGCTGTAGCATGTACCAATTTCTTTGCATCGCCTGCAGCCTTGCGTCAACAGTTTCGGCGTTCGAACCGCTGATGTGCAACATGTTTCCCAAATATCTCGAAACGCGCTGCACTTGTGCTTGAACATGGACATGGTCATGAAAAAGACGTCGCATTTCTTTCCCCGAGCCTTTTCCACAAAACTTTGGCAGGAAAACTTTCTTGGACTCGTTTGAGGAAATACCACACTGTGACAAGGCACTCGATAGCGCAGCATCCATCTCTCCCTCGAGGCGTTGCAGGTCCGCTGCAGAATTGACGAGGAACGTTTCAGCCAAGTCATCAGCAAATGTGGTGAGGGATGGGTCGACAATACAACCGTCCAACGGATTCGAAACACACAACGGCTGAGCAGCCTCACCGCGAGCTTGAACATACGCGTCAATGGAGGGGTGGTATACCTGTAAGAACTCAATGGATGCGATGGAGTCACCTTGTAGATTTCCAGATTTTGGCCGCATATGTATAGTTGCATCATGAGCACGTATGCACAGTACAGCATCTTCATGTCGTTGCCGCAGCAACTGACGGTCAAACAGATCACGCCCGACTTCACTACAAGCCTTTTGCAGCGCAGCGTGACACGGACTCGGGAATGCATTTGCCACATCATGTAGTACCGTGCAGTGTCCACGCTGAGTGTGCCGCAGTCTCCAGCGAAGGAGTTGCTGAGTCGCAATCGCTTGCTCTCGCCTACGGCCGCCCAGGTACCCTGATGCATACACACGCTCCGCCGTGCAATTTCCACGATTCCATAATGCTTTGTAGTATAGCTTTCCAACTGGGTCCAATGACCACACCAACCGTATTCCTGCGCAGCCAGGCTTGTTGTTGTGCTTGGAAATTTCATAACCCAATCCCAAATGCCAGATTTGAGGGACCTGTTTGGTGCGACGAATAACACACATGAGATCTCGCATACATTCCTGAAAGACAGGAAGGGCCAAATTTGGGGTCTCAAAGCCAAGGCCTCGTCGTCGGTGACTGTTGTAAAGGTTTGGCCACGTAAGCATCCGCCAAACTTCAGCTGGGACAGACCATTCTGGAACGCTACGCCTTGTTTTGCAGTCCCGCAGTTGCCAACGTAATTCACGAAGGTCGGATAAAGCATCCATCTGCATGAAATTGGACACGACACGAGTGTCAGTGGCACAATGTAAGCGGTCGTATAACAACCCATCCCAGTCCACAACATCAGCAGAGCATCCGCCCAGTGGCCCAGTTTGTTTGAGATGTGTCGCCCATTGCTCTGAGGACGGCCGTGTGGAATTAGGCACATTGTATTTGCGCTTCTTAGGTCCCGCACTGCGCCCACCAAGTTTGCGCCCCAGTTTCCAAACTGTCGCCAAATCACGTCTGCGCCATGCTTCTTGGAGTTCGTGAACCACTTGTTGCTGATATCGCTTGTTGTCTCGCCTGCATAGTAAGTGACATGACTTTGACACTCGTTCAAGTTTGGCAACTGCACGCCAGAGCTGAAGACACTGGGACAAGTACACACGCCAAGACCGACTATGCAAAGAAGGAGGAGGAATAATTTTACGCGGTTGTGTCCGAACATCTTGTAGCGCCAGCCTGGCATCACGCCGGTCCCGAATTGCTTGCCGAGTGTCATCAGGTCTACTATACCGGGCATGAGAAAGGGCAAACACCTCATGTGCACACTCCGAAACAGTGCTAGACAACAGTTGCCAAGCAGCATCGGGAAACACTCTACCTGTAACCTCATCCCATTGCTGTTTCTGCTGTTTACAGCGGCTTTCCACTCGTTCGAGGAATTCTTCCCTCCTATCACCATATACAACCGCCGCCATAATCGCGTCACGATCCAATGCACGTGTCGAAGAGTGCTCCGAAGTATACTGCAGCCTGTGCTCAACGTCCACAACCACAGGTCTATGATCACGAGGAGTGTTCGCCGAAATTATTTGTAATTTGGCCCCTGTGCGATGCCATACAGAGCAGTTGCTGATGTTTCGCAATAAAGAGACCGGGAGCGCAATGTAGTCAATTCGACTCCTTGCTGTAGGGGACATACCCCAATAAGTGTGTCCACATTTCCAGAATGTATTGGCCAGGCACAAATACTGGTCCTCGCAAAACTGTCGAATACAAGCTCCGTTAAAATTCTCCATTTCTGGTGTTTCACCCCCAACTGCAGAAGACTCCACATTACACACTTCACCCGCATTTCCTCCATAGCGTACCATGCCAGTCCTCCCATTGGCATCTGTAAGGATAACAGGCACACACCGTCTCGGTAACTCCGCCATAACACGACCGGCCCACTCATAAATTTGATGCACCCCTTGGCGTGCTTGTGCATTGTCCGGATCGGGTCTAACATACATACATATGAAACAGAAATCAACTGATCCATTCCGCACACGCACTGCCCCACCTCGACCCTGAAGCTGTGTCGGAGCAGACCAAATACGTACCACATGCTTCTTGCGGAAGTCCCGTGTACGAATCCCAATTTGGACACCAGCACACTTGTTTGTTGCATGCCCTTTTCCAAAGCCCCAATTAAAAAGTGTGAAACCATCCTGAACAGAAAAGGTAACCGCATCGCCAGAACATGGGAGACGAGTGCCCTGTATCCCGAACGCGGTGGCGGACTTGAATGCGTTGCAAATATCATGTTGTCGGCCAGCTTGTTTAAGTGAAAGGCAATTGTAAGTAATGAACCTCCACTTCTGCGCAGGCAGAGGATTGCAAGCCATAACACCACTAAGTGGCAAATACCATGCAAGTTCAGTCCCATCGGATACTACCTTCGACTAATCATTAACGCCGCGTGCCCTTCCAGCTCGAACACTAGCGGCTGACAACTTGGGCTACAAGATGTGCCAAGAACCAAGCCCAGCCACGTACCCCAGCACGCTCGCCAGGTCTACGAGGTAGGGCAGAAACCTGGATGCTTTAAGATTTGTGGGTGTGTGAAACGGCTTCGATTTGAATTTCGCAATATGGTGGTTGAGCAGCTCCGTTTGACTCAACAACTGGGAAGCGCAGGAATGCAACGCAGGGCATGGGGCAAATGGGGCACATGGCACTCGCATCACGAATTCACCACCCGTAGAGGCAAGGCGAGAGAAACCCCAAAACACGCAAAACCCATTGAGAGTCGGGAGTGCTGCTTTGCAGTTGCACCAACCTACATTACATTCGGAATCCATTCTCTGTGTATCCCGGTATGTGGGGTCCTCGATGCCCATCCTACACTGAAGCCATAAGCCTCTGAACCTTTCTGGAGCCCAGGGGCATCCAAATCAGCCACAGCAACCCCCGGAAGCTGCGCGGAGCCTCTGAGGGTGATGGCGGTCAGGGTCTCAAGAAGATGCACTTGGAGGTTCAGAAGGGTACTTGTCGTTAGGGAGTCCTCACGCTGAAGTCTAAGTCTTTACAAGTACGGCAACTCTAGTGAACCGGGCTCAGCGCTGATCGCCTGGCAGGTAAACTGAACCCTGGATCGCGGATTCGCTTGTGCGCACGGCTCGGGAGATCTCAGGAGGCTTGGCGGATGGGATCTATTGGGAATGCCACTTGGGGCTCGTCGATGTAGGACAAAGGTGTGTTGCACGAAAGTGATCTTGCGCGCTCAGAGTTCAGGAGGTCGGACAGCTAGGCCCGGGGGAGTACAGGGAAGGCCTCGAAATTCTGAACGCCGAATCATTGCAGACCAGAGAAGCACCCTCTTGACCTTAAAACCCGAGCCCTAAGCGTCCCAAATAACAAACTCGCCTGGAGCCCCGAAGAAAACAACGGAACGCGCGCCAAGATACCTCGACCAGCGCCAGGAGCACGGCGATCACTCCAATGTGGACCATGACCTGACAAATCATTGAGGGCCCTCAGGGCCTTGCAGAGGCCTTCGCCCCGACCAAAACTCAGCAACCATGCAGCTCGGGCCCCAGGATGGCTTGACCCAGCATTTCCAGGACCCGATATCATAAGTCCCAAGGGCGAAGCGCTCAGGGTGACCGACGAAACCTCAGCCCTCAAGCAAGCAGAGTTTCTGCCAGATGGCCCGGCAGGAGAGGTTGAAGGTCTTCACGCGCATCTTCCCCACCTCCTTCGAGCCGGGCAGCGGAGAACAAAATCCCCCCCCAAAGAGTTACTGTTTACCACGGGGGCTTCCAAAGCCACCTGCTCCTGGACCGTGTGATGTGGAAAAGAACTAACCACTTTCTACGACGCTTTGCAATGATGGCCACCCATCCCCAGCATTTGCCCACCATGCCAACGCTTTCTAGACACCGGTGGGAGCCTCGTCGATTCTCGCTTCCATGGTCTGCTCTGCGGCATTCTTGGCTTGCCCATCCTTGACACCGACGGAAAGGGTCTCAGAGGGAATTTCAGGTGGTAAGGGCTGTCAGGGTTCAAAGTTGCCTCGGGGCACCTCACCATCTTGGTGGGGGCCCCATGCTCTGGAGAGGTCTTAGGGCTCCTGACTCCAAAAAATCGGCCCCCAGCCAGAGTTCAACCATCCAGGACTCCGTTTTTCCATATGGAACCCGAAAGTGTCTAAAACGGGACCCTACCCGAACAAAGTACCTACAAGGGAACCCTCATTCAAAGCATTCCCCCACCGGGGCCCACCCGGCTACTACAAAGCTCGACTCAGAGAGGCGCAAGCTAGCGGAGCCCCCCTTATCCACGAAAGCCGCCCAAGCTTCGCAAAAGGAGGCGCAGCTAAAGAGCTGTTCTATCCCTCGACGCAAGTCCTGCGCAGCATGGATGTTTTTCCAGGTCCTCTTTACGTCTCGGGGGCTGTAATTACCCTTTAAGACGCCTTGAAGACTTGCATCTATTGCAGGTCTTGGGCGTTGGGTCCTTGACTCACTCACGTTCTTGCCAGGGTTTGCAGGTTCAAGAGTTGTCAAGCTTCTAGATCTTAGGGAAGGATGCGCAGATCTGCCATAACCCTGGAACTCTCACTGTTGGTTTCCCGACCGCAGGAGGCACAGTGGGTCCTGTTGGGTGCACCGCCAATGGCAATAAAGCAGAAGTGAAGCTGTTACCGCCGTGGCCACGTCCTCCGCCGATTGGCAAACTTTCAGCCGCTCACAAGGTCCATGCTTTCTAGGGAGTCCAACTGTCGAGATTCAAGGCTGGAGGTGCAAAAAACGACCCGTAGGCTTCTCAGTATCCTGACAATGCAACGACAACGCTCTTCGGTAAAAAGGAGTTTGCGGCAGGGTACCTCCCCTGAAAAGGAGCCCGAACACACAGGGCCCTAAACCCTGTAGATTGCCACAAGCTGGGTCTGATTGTTCGTAACCTCAAGTAAGCCAGTGCCTGGACCTCTGCAGAGGTTTAGAGTTGTTCAGCGAGGGTGGCTGAAGGGGGGACGAAAACAAAAGGGATCTTTTAGGAGAACCAGAGCCTGAGCGAACCTTGGGGAACCTCACGGGGCTTGAGGGATCAGATTGCCCACCTCTTGGACCCTGCTCCCTCAAGGGCGCTGTGAACTTTCTCCTCCAGCCAAGAAGAGGTGTGTGTGCACTATCCCAAGGGCCTCCCAGATCCATTGGGTCGGCGACTTCTTGTTCTTGTTCGGAGAACATGTAACCACTACTGAAGTGCGAGCTGGTGGCAGAGATGGCCCAGCTGGCTGGATCCATGGCGGGGTTTCGAAAACGGTGGAAACCTGCACCCGAACCTCCCTAACTTTGATGGGGTTAAACCATGATACCAAATTCAGACCCGACATCCTCATGCCCTATAGGCCCGAAGAGCCTAACCCCTAACAGCCTAACACCACACATTTCCTTCAAGTCCTAGGCTGAATCGCATTGGCTCTGTCGGATGCCGGGACCCTTGAGGCTCAGATCTGCGGCGGTGTACAGTTCATAAGAGTGCCATAAGAACTTCAGGGTTCAGGGCTGCTGCTTAGGGTTTAGAGTTTAGAGTTTGCGCGATGTCTTCTGATACTTTGCCACTGAACATCATTGAATGGAGCATCGTCCTCGTCTTGACTTGAAATTGAAGACGTCGCCGTTGCAGGGCAACGAGGCAGCATGCGCAGGCATGCTCAAAAGCGGCCCGGAAACTTGGGCATCGTGCCGGAAGTCGATCGACCAGCAGATAAAGTCTAATATTATGGAACTTCTGTCAAATTCCAGGGTCAACTTTCCTTCAAGCAAAGGTTCTGGTTAACAGGTTTGGGGTGCTCAGGGCAATACAAGCAAGACCCCGAATTTGACGAGCTCCTACAGTCTACAGTGGCGCACTGCGTCTGGGCTCAGATCACCACGGCCGTTGGTGACGGAACAGTCGTGCTGTTGATGTACTTGACATGCCTTGATTGATCAAGCGAGCATGCAAGTGGTTGATCTTGCGGCCGTTTGTCTCTGTGACTGCAGCTGCTACACTAAGACGTCGATGGCTGTGCCAATGCTGACATGTCGCTCCGCTGCAGAGATACGTGAGACAACCAGGGCGAAGCAAAAGCAATGTCAGCTTTGAGATGGCAGCAACTCGGCACTCCCACCTTTCGTGTCCCCCCAAAACAAAAGCTGCTTTGGCAAAAGGGGCAACTGGTTGATCTTGCCATTGAACTTGAACGGAGAGCGGTCCTGACACATGCAGAAATTCTTCAATACATGCTTTGCAGCAAACGTACCCATTATGGGTCAGCTCCACCCCCGACAAACATTGGCGCTAAAACTCTGGTAAACTAGAACTGCGGCGGGGGGGGGGGATCTAGCACACATACTCTCCTGTTGAGCACCCACTACAATAGGTCCTAGCAATGAAGGATAAGCCATTGGAGCAGGGAAACGAACAAAGTACAACATCAAATATGCAGCTGTCACGTGGGAACGCTTGTTCCACTGATCTCGGGGCCCTTGGGGTCGGATGGAGAAACCTCTGCGGGGGTGTCCAAGTCACGGCCCATGCGCATCACAGTACGAGTGGACGTCCCAATCCGGTCTGGGGACTAACACACACGCCCTCAGTCGGACCGTTTGGAGCACAACCAACTCCCCTTCCAGCCAACCAGCCACCAACCCCTCTAAGCCAGTGGAGCCCTGTGAAACCCTACATGGCAACAGTGGTAACGCACAGCATTCCCCATCCCCTATAGAAGCAGCGGGGTCCTGGTAAAGCAAGGAGACAGGAGATCCCAAGTCCATCCCGACATCAAAAGTCCTCAGCTGTTTGGGGCAGCTCGAAAGCTTCATTTTCAGAGGGTTCAGGGGGTCAGAGGGGATGCAGAGATTACAGGGCTCAGCAGCGTTCAGAAACGGATGCATGCCGGTCATCATGCTTGGGCGGTGGGCAGGTGACCGCACACATCTATGTCGACGTGTGCGTTGACAAAAGCCCCATGCTGACCACAAAAAGCGTGGTACGTACTCTGTGTGGCGACTGAACCCGAACCAGGCCATGGTTGAACAAAATCCACAAAGTGCGGCTCAAGCTGAAACCTCTCCGCGCCTTCGAAGACCGAAGGACTGAAGACCCCAAGAGCGACACAAATGGAGACGCGGCTACACACCGAGAGCCTCCGAAGCATCGAAGGCCAAGCGAATCGATTTCTCCACGTTCCTGAGGATCCCGGGCGGGGTGCAGGTGGTGTGATCGGCAGCAACTCCGGTAGAAGTAGTCAAACCTGTGACATACCTGCAAGATAGATCCAGTCTTAGTCGGCAAACGACAGCAACAGCAAAGGAAACACTCGAGTCACAAACCCAGCAGAGGGGCAGTGAAGCCACCAAAGCTCCGTTCACGGACCTTTGTTCCGGCTGTTTTGGCGAAGCCCATGAGGACAAGGGAGCCTACCTCCACGCGAGTCGGGGTCCTACTGTAGACACCGAAGCCTTCAGGGTGTTCTCCCATCCTCCCCTCCAGCATGCAACAATGCAACTCTAGCTTCATGTTGTCAAGCATGAGATTTGTACTTCTTCGTCTAAATGCATACATGCATACATACATACATACATACCCCCCCGCCCCATGATCCACACATTTGCCTCCGGGAAGGCTGGCTTTGGGAGGGGGGGGTACTCCCCCCTCAGACTCCAGATTTCCAGATTTCGAGATTTCCAGATTTCCAGATTTCCAGATTTCCAGATTTCCAGATTTCCAGATTTCCAGATTTCCAGAAAAAATCTGGAGTACCTCCAGACTCCAGACTCCAGATTTCCAGAAAAAATCTGGAGTATCCTAAAAAATGACACCAATTTTACATCCTCCTGCATCCTCCTGCATCCTCCTGCATCCTCCTGCATCCTCCTGCATCCTCCTGCATCCTCCTGCATCCTCCTGCATCCTCCTGCATCCTCCTGCATCCTCCTGCATCCTCCTGCATTCTGAAACCCAGAAAGCCCAGAGACTTCAGGCAATGACTCACCCTGCTCAAAACCCTAAGCGCCTTAAACCCTAAGCCTAGATAATGTCATATAGCCTGCTGCTCCATGCTGCTCTCCTGCAAGTTTGCCACCCTGTCCCGCTGAACGTCCGTCATCATCTGTGCCGTCTCACCTTGCTGGGCGTGGGTGTACAAAAGCGTGGTGCGAGCTAAGCGAGCTTTGCTAAGAGGCTAAACCCTAAACCCCTAGACGCATGACAAAGTTAGACAGTGGTGCGGTGGCATCTGCGAAATTGGCTTGGGGACCCGGGCTTGGCGCGAGCACCAGTGAACTTGGGTTTTAGGGTGGAGGGTTTAAGGTTTAGGGTTTAGGGGAGCCTACCGAGCTTTTGATATGTTTGCAGTTTTGCCTCGTGTTCTTGATTTTCCGACTTCATAAGTTGGAGGCAAACCCGCGTTCACCTTTGCCAGCCTAAGACCACATGTTGCACCGACGGGCAACTCACTGATTCCGTTGCCACCCCATTTTCCATGCTAGCTCTGTATGGAGAGAGCCGAGCTGACTCGGCTGTGAGAAACCGGACTCCTCGATTGAGCCTCAGGCCCAAAATTCGTCAAGTACCTCATACAAATCGGCCACATCCCTTCTCACGAAGTCGTACCCGTTCTTCTTCAACCATGCAACTTCTCCTTTCTGAGAGCCCCCAAGACCCACCTTGTCCCAAAGATCAACTTCACCAAGATCCGCCCAATCCACTTCTCCCTGTCCAACTTGACCTCTGAAGTAGTAGACGACGAGGGTTTGTTGTTGGGCAACTGCTTTCTCCACATTTTTTGTCCATTCTTCAAACCACTTGCAACCCCAACTGGGCCGGCGCTTATTCTCCTCATTGTTGAACTCCTCCAGAGCTTCTGCCGCTTTCTTGTGGTCTTTGTCATTCAACTGTTTGTAGTATCCGAAGTCTGCAGCCCCTCTTTCGCCATAAAGCTCCTTGCACATGCACGTGTCGCTATGTCGTCCGTATCCGTCCTCCTCATTCAGCAAGAAGACACATGCCACACTCATTCGGTGTCGGCCTCCGATACAGAGCTCCCAAGCTTTGGTGTACTTGCCAGGAAATGACACCACACACACATCTCTTTCCGAGTCCACATGACCCATATATGACATTTTCAGATCAGATTCCATCACAGGCTGGGAGACATCCTTGCGTGGGTTAAGATTATTTGTGTTCCAGAATGCGCTGCGCAATGGTTCATACAATAACCAAGTCGCAACGAAGACGATGCAAGGTATCAAGAGGTTCACACAAACCACGAAGGAGGCTCCTTTGGGAAAATTGAACGTCAGATTGAACATCCAAGTGCCCTCGGAAGTTTTGTAGTGTTCGACGGCGAAGACAGAGTTGTCCAAGGCTAGGAGAGCAATGCTACAGATGGCTTCAGGAAAAGTTTTCAAGAGCAACCACCTGCGTTGCAGTGGTATCACGCGCTTGAACAGGTAACTGACAATCGCACCCTGCCACATCTTCACGGTCGTCGGAAAGGCCGGAACGGTCTCGGGCGATGCGATGAGCACTGGGATGTAAGCTTGCGGAAGGACTCCTGCCATTGAGCGGCCACCTCCGACAGCTGCGCATTTGATGGAAGTCAAAAAGACTGAGGAACCTGGAGACTAGCCTAGAACTGAATGCGAAGAAATGGAAGTCACATGAGTTCAGAACTGGAAAGACAAATGCGATGTGACGAAGCTGCTGCTGCTGCTATTGAGCTGGTCGTAGGTCTTGACCACTGCTGACAAAAAGTCCGGGTTATATTTCCACGTTTTATTATCTTGACTTGGCTCTCTCTCGCTCAGTCGCAGAAAGTTAACTCTTAAGCTAAAAAAATATGCCATATTTGTAAGGGTCCTGACTCGAAAGCAACGAGACTCTTTTGTAACAAGGAGCAATCCCCAAGTTTCGGTGGCAGAGCCCGCGGACCCGCGCGGACCCTGCGAGGACACCGCGCGGACCCTGCGCGGACACCGCGCGGACATGCCCAAACACGCAGCCCGCGTGCAGGGCTGCATATTGCGGCATGTGGCGCTGACGTACGCGCGGACCCCCGCGGACATGCCGCGCCCTCCATTTTCAGTGGTTTTCCCTTGGCATCCCGCGGACATGGTCAAGCATGCCGATTCATAAGTTTCGGTTTCGGCCAAGAGCTGTGCAAGCACACGCGCCAGGACGTGTGCCATACGGATACCAAAGACGAGCCGGTCGGGGTTCCTCCTTGTGGAGCATCCATGACGCCAAAGTGGACAGGAGCTTAATTCCCGTATGCTTTCTGCAACAAGAAAAGCCAAAAGCTGCAGCGAATTGGAGTGCATCCAAGGACATCTCTTCACCAGACCTCATGGAAACATCTTTTTGCAACACCATATTGTCTTGCGAAAACGTACGAAACCTATCAAAACACAAGTTCATTCTAACTATAACATATGTTCCAAGTAACTACAAAGGACAAAAACTGCAACTAACTTAGATCTTCAGATTAAGTCCTCCCCACTACTTAGGAGATATAAGTGACTTACACGTGACTTCGCCTATTTATAACCTACTTATACATAAAATAAAGCGAATCGTATATCCCACACACCAAAACGCCCTCGTGGCTATGGGGTTGAGGGTGAGTTCATCACACGATGGGGTGAGACAGGCTGCTCTGTCCCCTGGCTAGATACCGCCGACCGCCGCTCTATGAGCAGGGTGAGGCTCCGCTGCCAGTTTGAGGGATCGTGACTGAGCAGCAACTGCGTAGCACTTTTTCGGTTTTAAGGCTTTAAAGCTGAGCTCAAGGCCTGCGGGATACAACGTTAGGGTAACGAAGTTAAGGAGATGTGACCTCGGCTACACCATACAGGGAGTAAGACAGGTAGATTTTCACAAGGGTTTTGGGTTTAAGGGTTTGCTTCAGCTGCAGCTGGTGCTAAATCAGCTAAAGAATTGGAAACTGCTGGCGCAGCGCATTGCCACTGCAGTTCTGAGGCTCAACCGAGAGCGAATTCCAAAGTCACCTCGAACAAACTTCTCCTGAATAAATACTACGCACAAAAGAATCGAAAATACCCCAAAAAAGAGAAGCGGCAAGAAAACAATCCAACAACAATCAACAAACATGCCAAAGAAGATTATTGTTGTGATTCTTGTGTCCATGTGCTTCATCCAACCCTTGTGGTTGCTCTGCTTTTCCACTGCCATCTTCGTTTTTGCTTTTCGAGCTGCTTCCTGGCTCTGACTTTGGCTCGAACCTGCTCGCAACTTTCGGGCATCTGATTTTGGCCTTTGGTTGCTGTCAAACCGTTCCACTTTCGAGGAGTGGATCATGTCAAGGGATGACAAGGCCTAGCAGCTAAGCCGTCAAGGCATGAGAGTTCACGAAAAAGACTTTGCATTCGTCAGCCAAATAAGTTCAATGTCTTGGGCCCGCGCGTTGTTTGGTTGCATCGCACGCCAATGAACCAAGAGATCCAGACTGTACCCCAAGTGGGCGGAGGGGGGGAGGTGGAGACTGTTTCAGTTTCCGATCCTCGCTAATCTTCGGCCCTGCGGGGAGGGGGGGGGGTCTAGGGCCAAGAGCAAAATTCTGAGATATGATTTCATGACAGACTCAGAAAGTCTGCGGCACAGAACATCACCCGCCCTTTCTTGAAGCAAAGCATGTGCACTTTGACCACAGTTACATGTGGCGGGCTTAAGTCAGCCAGGATTGTGTCAAGTCGCCCCTCTCCACTTGCACGGTGCATTAGTTTTAAAGTCACCAGGCTTGCGAAATAGTCACCCCGACGCAGCCGCGACGGCGCGCATCATTTAAGACCGTGTTGTTGGAAGATCTTGAAAGTTGCATGCACAGGCCGCATAAACTAAACATGTTCGAGTATGCATGGTGCTTCTTTCGCAGTGAAACACAATGAGAACGCCGATTTGAGAAGGTTAAGGTCCACACTTCTATCCCCAGAAACTGCATGCAAACCGAACCTGAAAGCAAGACTTTCCAACATCTACTTCTGACGTCAACGCATACAGGCAGGCACTCTTTGACAAAGGAAGTACTTAAAGTGAAACCCTCAGTAGAGCTACGAAAACTGTCCTATAAACTCTCATGTGCAATCGTGTGCAAGTCGCTCGGCATGAGCCCCCACTATCCCCCACTTGCCCAAAATTGCCCAAAAGCAGAAGACAAGACGACTTGATGCGGCTACGACGTAAGGACCGTATAGAGAGCATTCCTCCTCTCAAATTTCAGCTGTCCCGGCCTCTCACACAAAGATATGCTCGCAACACGATGATATGTGCCCATGCCAAGATGCCGAAGAGTTTGGCAACGGGGTTGTTGCTTTGTATCAACAGCCCTCCAAGAATCATCTCCTTGAGGATGTCACAAGCATCATTGCGAATGAAGGGAACTAAAGCCACTGAACACCTCAAGAAAGTGTACATGGGCAAGGGGCCCGTCTCGATGCAAGCTTTGATCAAAGCTTGTACTAAGAACCACACGCACTGAGTTCCAAACAGCAGCAGGTACACTTCCCAGTTCAGGCCGTAGCCTTTCGAGATGATTCCGGCATCAAGGCTGAAGGTGATCACAAAGAAGCAGACCCCGATGACCATAGCACAAACGAGCTGCGTAAGAAGCCGCTCTTGCTTGATGCTCAAAGCACGGTCAGCGGTTTGATTCTTCGGCTTTGTCTCTGCAGACTCCTTCTGCGTCTCTGCAGACTCCTTCGGCCTCTTTGTAGACTCCATCGGCTGCTCTGACTGTTGATGTGCTAGTCGTCCGATGGCCATGATGACACTTCCAACGATGACTGTGGCCATGTACATCAGAAGCAAAAACGAGACGAAGTAGCGAAGCCTTTGCCAGGAGGCACCCGGCTCATGCTTCTCTTCCTCTTGAATCTGCTGAGGTGTCGGGTTCAAGGCGGGTCGTTTAACCAACTTGCTGAGGGAGCTGGTTGCAACATCTTCTATGAGATCAGGCAGCTGGGTGGGAAGCGCCTCAGGCTCAGCAGGCAGATCGGTGGGAAGTGGCTCCCTCACGCAGAGCGCACTGCTCAAAAGTGAAACACATATGTAGATGCGAATCTTCATCGCAAATGACCTGAAGCTGGCTTGCAGCTTGACCCAAGCCTCCCCGGAAAGAAAGAAGATCTGATTTCCCCGCAAGTGTTCCGCCAAGAAAGGAAGACACATGTGTGCGTTCTAAAACAACTGCTAACAGCAGTCGTTCATGACTGTTCATGACCAACCATGACATTGAAACACATGATGCACTCTGAACAAACCAGCAGCTTCAGCAGCTGCCCACACTTCCACTGCCTTGCAACCTTTGCAACCTTTGCAACGTTTGCAACCTTTGCAACCTTTGCAACCTTCGCAGCTGCCGAGTGACTTTCAGGAGCGGCTCGTCAATCTCCGACTCAGCTTGAGGTTTAGGGGTTTAGGGCTTAGGGTTTAGAATTTCGGGCGAGTCCTAAGTCTACTGCCAGATCGCCTTGCGATGCGGGATCTTGAGCCCCATGAAACTTGCCCTTTATTGAACCCTTCTTCTCCTTTCAGCCCCAGATCGGAACTCTTCAACTTCGGCTTCAACGGATCGATCTTCACAATTTCCGTGCCACCCACGTCGTCTCGAGGATGCGCTTCAGGCAGCCTCAGGTTTCTCAAGCGATCAGCGATCGGGAGGCCAAGCCGGTGTTTTCAGAAGAGTTCAGCGGTCTTCGCGCGCGTTTTGTGCGTGTCGGGTTGATGAGGAGACCTTGAATTTAGAGTAGGATTGGCAGCTTTGAAGTCCTATAGGAGACGGGCTTCCTGTTGTGGATCGGAGGATTACATTACAACTTGTACTTCTCAGGGTGGTGGACGCCATTTCACGCCTCGCCTCCAGGCCCAAGAAAACCTTTGAAGCTGACATCTTCGCCTTAGGGCACTCGCCATATCCCAAAGATAGCGGACGGACCACGTGAAATCTCCCCAAAAAGCCTCCGCCTCTGCTGGGCTCATAAGCGTGCAGGTTTGTGACGGTTTGTGTAGTGTCTGGGTTCTCAGGATGCAGAGTTTCTGCTGAAGGTTTTCACATGCATCTTCCCCACCTCCTTCGAGCGCGCAGAGTGGAACACAAATCTGCCAAAGGAGCTTTAGTTTGCCACAGGGGCTTCCAAAGCCACCTGTTCCTGGACCTTGTGATGGCCCAAACCAACCACTTCTACGACGATTTGCGATGCATGACCGCGACCATCCCCAGCATTTGCACCATGTCAACGCGTCTGGAAGGCACTGAGGAGCCTCGTCTATTCTCGCTTCCATGGTCTGCTCTGCGGCATTCTTGGCTTGCCCATCCTTGACACCAAGCGACGGAAAGGTCTTAGGGATTGTGGTTCGGGCTTTGGGTTCAAAGTTGCGTGGGAGCGCCTCACCCTTGGTGGATCGGGCCCCATGCTCTCGAGAGGTCTGACCCCAAATTGGCCCCCAGCCAAAGTTCAACCATCCAGGACTCCGTTTTTCCATATGGAACCCGAAGTGTCTGAAACAGGACCCGACCCGAACAAGTACCTACAAGGGAACCCTCATTCAAAACATTCCCGCCAACCCCCCCCCCCCCCCACCCGGCTACAACAAAGCTCGACTCAGAGAGGCGCTGGCGAGCTAACGGAGAACCCCTCTCCACGAATGCGGCCCAAGCTTCGCAAAAGGAGGCGCAGCTAAAGAGCTGTTCTATCCCTCGACGCAAGTCCTGCGCAGCATGGATGCTTTTCCAGGTCCTCTTTACGTCTCGGAGGGCTGTAATTACAGTTTAAGATGCCTTGAAGACTTGCATCTATTGTAGGTTTTGGGCTTTAACGTCCTTGGGGCTCAAGTTGTTGCCAAGGTTTGCAGTTCAAGAGTTGTCAAGCTTCAAACTCTTGGAGCAGGATGCGCAGATGTGCCATGACCCTCGAACTATCTAGGACTCGCATTGCCCTAGGTTTCCCGCCCTCAGGAGGCACAATGTGTCCTGTTGGGTGCACCGCCAATGGCAATAAAGCAGAAGTGAAGCTGTTACCACCGTGGCCACGTCCTCGGCCGATTGGCAAATAAACTTTGGGCTTTTCGGGGGCGAGGAAGAAGCCCAAAGTTGGGTACCACCGAAGGATAAGGGGTGTAACGGAAACCAAACGGGAGTGTAACGGAAACCAACCCGAAAACAAAACAGAAACCAAACACAAGTGTAAGGGAAACTACGCCCCAAAACCTGGAAACAATACGCAGGTGTAACGGAAACCAGACAGACCTGCGACGGAAACCAAAAAGAGGTGTAACAGAAACCACGGAAAACTAAACCCGAAACCGTAGACCCTAAACCCCTCAACCCTCAGCACGGAAACTAAACTCGAAACCCCAGACCCTAAACCCCTCAACCCTCAACCCTCAACCCCAATGAGGGCCAGGTACCCCAATCCTTTCTCCGCCTTTCATCTCTCTGTTTGGGCAGTTGGTTTCTGTTACGTCCCGCAATGGTTTCCGTAACGGTCCCAGGTTGGTTTGGGTTACACCCTGCTGTTGTTTCTGTTTCGGCTTCGGGGAGATAGTTTCCGGTACACCCCGCCAGTTTCCGTAACAGACTTTACTCACCACCGAACATCCTTCAACTGAAACAGCCGCTCACAAAGTCCATGCGTTCTTGGGAGCCCAGCGTGTCGAGCTTCAGGGCCGGAGGTTAGAAAAAACATGACCGCTAGGCAGTCCAATAACCTGATAATGAGAGACAACGCTCTTTTCCACATGGAGTTTTCGTCAGGGAACCTCACCTGAAAAGAAGCCAAAACACACAGGCGTACCCTACAGGATCCCGAAAGTTAGTGCCACAAGCTGGGTCTGATTGTTCGTAACCTCAAGTAAGCCAGTGCCTGGACCTCTGCAGGGTTTAGAGTTGTTCAGCGAGGGTGGCTGAAGGGGGAGCTAAAACAAAAAAAGATCTTTAAGAGAACCAAAGCGAACCTTGGGGAACCTTACGGGGCTTGCGGGATCAGATGGCTTACCTCTTGGACCCCGCTCCCTCAAGGGCGCTGTGAACTTTCTCCTCCAGCCAAGAAGAGGAGGTGTATGAAATACTTCAAGGGCCTCCTAGACCTCTTGGGTCGGCGACTTCCTGTTCGGAGGAGTAACTACATGTAACCACTACTGAAGTGCGAGCTGGTGGCAGAGATGGCCCAGCTGGCTGGATCCATGGCGGGGTTTCGAAAACGGTGGAAACCTGCACCCGAACCTCCCTAACTTTGATGGGGTTAAACCATGATACCAAATTCAGACCCGACATCCTCATGCCCTATAAGCCCGAAGAGCCTAACCCCTAACAGCCTAACACCACACATTTCCTTCAAGTCCTAGGCTGAATCGCATTGGCTCTGTCGGATGCCGGGACCCGTTGAGGCTCAGATCTGCGGCGGTGTACAGTTCATAAGAGTGCCTCAAGAACTTCAGGGTTCAGGGCTGCTGCTTAGGATTTAGAGTTTAGAGATGTTTAGAGTTTGCGCGACATGACCCGAAGCCGCAAGTTAGTCCAGACATGTGCGGCTGTCTGTCTTCTGATACTTTGCCACTGAACATCATTGAATGGAGCATCGTCCTCGTCTTGACTTGAAATTGAAGACGTCGCCGTTGCAGGGCAACGAGGCAGCATGCGGAGGCATGCTCAAAAGCGGCCCGGAAACTTGGGCATCGTGCCGGAAGTCGATCGACCAGCAGATAAAGTCTAATATTATGGAACTTCTGTCAAATTCCAGGGTCAACTTTCCTTCAAGCAAAGGTTCTGGTTAACAGGTTTGGGGTGCTCAGGGCAATACAAGCAAGACCCCGAATTTGACGAGCTCCTACAGTCTACAGTGGCGCACTGCGTCTGGGCTCAGATCACCACGGCCGTTGGTGACGGAACAGTCGTGCTGTTGATGTACTTGACATGCCTTGATTGATCAAGCGAGCATGCAAGTGGTTGATCTTGCGGCCGTTTGTCTCTGTGACTGCAGCTGTTACACTAAGACGTCGATGGCTGTGCCAATGCTGACATGTCGCTCCGCTGCAGAGATACGTGAGACAACCAGGGAGAAGCAAAAGCAATGTCAGCTTTGAGATGGCAGCAACTCGGCACTCCCACCTTTCGTGTCCCCCCAAAACAAAAGCTACTTTGGCAAAAGGGGCAACTGGTTGATCTTGCCATTGAACTTGAACGGAGAGCGGTCCTGACACATGCAGAAATTCTTCAATACATGCTTTGCAGCAAACGTACCCATTATGGGTCAGCTCCACCCCCGACAAACATTGGCGCTAAAACTCTGGTAAACTAGAACTGCGGCGGGGGGGGGGGATCTAGCACACATACTCTCCTGTTGAGCACCCACTACAATAGGTCCTAGCAATGAAGGATAAGCCATTGGAGCAGGGAAACGAACAAAGTACAACATCAAATATGCAGCTGTCACGTGGGAACGCTTGTTCCACTGATCTCGGGGCCCTTGGGGTCGGATGGAGAAACCTCTGCGGGGGTGTCCAAGTCACGGCCCATGCGCATCACAGTACGAGTGGACGTCCCAATCCGGTCTGGGGACTAACACACACGCCCTCAGTCGGACCGTTTGGAGCACAACCAACTCCCCTTCCAGCCAACCAGCCACCAACCCCTCTAAGCCAGTGGAGCCCTGTGAAACCCTACATGGCAACAGTGGTAACGCACAGCATTCCCCATCCCCGAAAGGAGCAGCGGGGTCCTGGTAAAGCAAGGAGACAGGAGATCCCAAGTCCATCCCGACATCAAAAGTCCTCAGCTGTTTGGGGCAGCTCGAAAGCTTCATTTTCAGAGGGTTCAGGGGGGGTCAGAGGGGATGCAGAGATCAGAGGGCTCAGCAGCGTTCAGAAACGGATGCGTGCCTGTCATCATGCTTTGGCGGTGGGCAGGTGACCGCACACATCTATGTCGACGTGTGCGCTAGAGACAAGCCCTATGCTGACCACAAAGTGTGGTACGTACTTTGTGTGGCGACTGCACCCGAACCAGGCCATGGTTGGAAAAAGTCCATAAGGCAAGCGCGGCTCAAACCTCCCTATGACCCCAAGAGCGACACAAATGGAGACACGGCTACACACCGAGGGTCTCTGAAGCATCGAAGGCCAAGCGAATCGATTTCTCCACGTTCCTGAGGATCCCCGGGCGGGGTGCAGGTGTGATCGGCAACTCCGGAAGAAGTAGTCAAACCTGTGACATACCTGCAAGATAGATCCAGACTTCGTGGGCAGACGACAGCAACAGGAAAGGAAGCGCCAGCAGAGGGGCAGTGAAGCCACCAAAGCTCCGTTCACGGACCTTTGTTGCGGCTTTGGCGAAGCCCATGAGGATAAGGGGCCTACCCCCCAAACTGGGCAGAAACGCTAGTCGGGTCCTACTGTAGACACCGAAGCCTTCAGGGTGTTCCCATCCTACCCCTCCCACAAACCTCCCAGCATGCAACAATGTAACTTTAGCTTAATGTTGTCAAGCCTGCGACGTTTACTTCTTCTGATAAATAAATAAATATATATATATATATGTATATATTTATTTAGCACACACACACACAGATCCACGGTTTTCGGCTTCAAATGTCAAACCTCTCAAAAAAAGCTTTGTGAATGGCCCTAGCCTAGATCTGCAAGTATTGTTACGCACCCAATCTAGGTTGCAGCGGACACAGATATAACCTCTGAGCATACGATTTGTGAAGGGCCCTAGCTTCAACCATCCGAAAGTATTGTGTGTTGTTGCGCACAAAATCATCTTCCGGATATGGCTATTCTACGTTGTAGCGGACACAAGTATACACTACTTGGTGTCAGCTGTTTGAAGAAAATTCATGGCTCAAGAGGTGAGTCATATGTACTTCAAACATACTCTTTACTCAGATCTAGATAGTTCTGGTATTTGGGGCTATTTCTCGAGGAAAGGGCCTCTCAACCCTCTCAAGCAACCCCGGCCCTCCACACTCAAATGGCAACCACCCCCCGAGAAACATCAACACCTCCACCAGAGAACCATGAGGTCGGGATTGGTACAGCAGTGTCCTAAACCGAGGCAGTTGCATGGTCAGCTGTGCCGGTGGAATCGAACTCTTCGACATGTCATAGAGCCTCTGTGCCAACACTGCGGGGGTTTAGTTTAGGACCTTAGGAGTCTGAGAGGAGTTTCGAGGGGTGCGATTTCCTGGTGCCAGGCGACGCGCTTTCTTGCGAGGCTTGGGGGTCTGCCTCCCACACTGTTTGGGCCAAAGCGCAACCCTCTACCTAACACATCCCTACAGCCGAAAAAATGGATGCGTGGGGCGGTAGCAGGAAACTGCCTGTGGTCATTGTCTTGCTACTTGACGTTGCACATGATCCACCACCCCCTGAACGCACGACTCCTGAGTACGACCCTGCAGCAACTGACCTTGGCTCTCAGGCTACTCACACGACAGACTTCCTTAAAACTGAGCGAAGTCACAACTGCACCTCGATCTTTGCGTTCCCCGCTGGCCTGGGTTGCAAAGCTTCAGCTAGGTTCCGATGCGTGACCCGGATACGAGAGACTCCCGGACAGACCTCTGCCTTGCCCTAGGCGGCATCGACCGCATCCCACGTCACCCTCGACCCTTCTTGCAACCTTTTCGGTCCCTGCTGTTGGGGGACCTCAGCACACTTCAAGCCCTGAATGCCCCCAGCCTCTGAATCCTCAACCCATCAAACCGTCCCCGCTTACAGGGCGGGAGGGAGCAACCCTCAAAGCCCCATGTGGGCCAACAAGCTGGTGGACCAAAGCTGAAGCTTTGGGAGCTGAAGGTTCTTGATTGTTGTTTTTGGGGGTTCAGACACCTCTGGCTTATGTACGCAGCCCAAAAACCACACTCAGGAGTACGCAGACCCGCGTAAGGCTCTCAGCCAGGCATCAATGGCGCTGAGGACTTCGTGACATAGCGATACAGCAGGGTGGCCATGTACTCTGCGTAGAGGTAGCCCTGGTCCATGTACCTTTTTGGAAAAGATACATTCAGGGGATTGTACGGGATTTAGGGGGCGTTTCGGGAATTTAGAACCCCCTCCCCAACACCTACACTCGGCAGTCTCGAGACATGCGGACCCCCCAAGCCCCGCATACACAGGGAACCGTTTCACAGGGACCTTGCAGGCCCCGATACAAGGGGTTCATTGGTTGTGCTTCGGGGCTTCGGCTTTGCAGGGCTTCGGTGCGCAGCACCTCGGAAAAGGTGCGCAGCTCCGACCCGAAGCTGACGAACCTCGTGGACCAAATCCTGAACTCTCATCAAATCAGCCTCCAGGCCCGAAAAGGCGGCTTGGCTTTTAAGGGGTTTTAAGGGTTTCGAGTTTCGAGCTTAGGGTTAAGAATTTACGATGAGACGCACGGAGAATCCGCCCGCCGTGCCACCCACGCAGTAGAGGACTCCCGAGCCGTTCTTGGGCACCTCTCCAACCCTAGATGATCATGACTCTGGGGGTCTTGGGTGCAGATAGAGTCGGGTTGGAATGCCTCTCTGAGGGAACCTTTGCGGACCTCTTGTGCTTGTTTCCCCCTCCAAGTTCAAGACTCTAGGAAGTTTAGCCCTCAACTGAGAGAGGGCTCGCTTGAATTGCTTGAGTTGCTTGAGTTGGCGGGGCGTTGCGTCGCCAGGGATTGGCCAGTTGCCTGTGTTTGGGCAAACTTCGGGATGCCTTGCCCAAGCCCCAAATCCCGACTCGAATGGGCCTCGAACCTCAACTTTCATCAGGAGTTCATTCTTGGCGGGCTTGCTCTTTTGCTTCTTTTCTTTTTTGGGGGCGGGGGGGGGGAGGAGGAAGGGGGTGATTTTATCTTCAGATTCCCGGAGCCCGGACCTCCACATCCAGAGTGGCCACGGAGCTGAAACCTGAGCCGCAATTTGGGCCTTCTTGCCATATTTCTGGATTGCTTTGAACCAACTTGTGATGGTTTGCACGATGTGGGTTGCAGCGCTCATGGGGTCATTAAGACGATCAAGACATACGGTCGAAGCTTTGAGTCCAACAATTTGAACCCTCCCAACCTTCTCACCTAAGCAGAGACCGCTGCAGACGCACGTTTTTTCAAGAGGACTACCCGACAGTAGAACCCGAAACCCGAATCCGATAATCAAGGCCCCAGTCTCCGCTGTGGAAGATCGGAGCGTTGGACTCCGCAATTCGCGTCATGCCCTCGTAGAGGTACCTTTGGAGTCTGGGGGAACAGTGGGGGAGAGATCTGGAGGGTCTTTTTGATGCACTATATGAAAACCAGTGGGGGAGATAGGGGAAGCTTCAAAAAACACATGGGTACCCGCAGGGAATGGAGGGTCGAGGGTTTCGGGTTTAGGGCTTTGGGGCCAAACAAAGAGTTTAGTGGTTCCAGGTCTGCAGGGCCGGGTGCTTGGTTTAAGGCTTATTTAAGGACTTCAAGGCTAGGTCCTCCCCAGAAGCACTCCAACTTGCCTAGGTCTCACCTGCCGGGTGTTGTTGCCAGTCGACACATCCGAACCCTGGGTTCAGGAGGTTGGGGGGGAAGCGCTGGAATTTGGAGCTTTTATCGCCCCGCAAGCCCCCGCCCCCCTCATGAATCCAGGGCCAAGTGCCACTCCTTGAGATGAGATCTTGGTCCTTGCTCTGGATGGTAGTAAATGGTCCACAAGCCTGGAACATGGTATCCGGAGGTTTATGGGGGCTGCAACGGGAGAAAATGCAAGATTCTGCCTTGGTGCTCCAGCGAAAAGGGCATGGTTTCCTATAGGGCCTGTTTTCTGGCTGGATCTTGCACACCCTCAAAAAGGCATGAAGCGAAAGCTTGAGCTCCCAGGACATCGCGCATCAGATCTTTCCGATCAACAGGGAAACAGTGTGCGGCTTGCAGGATGTTCTTGGGTGTCGGTGTGGCTGCCTGAATCTGTGGTGTCGGAATATCAAGAAAATTTCATGTGCTATGGATGGTTTCTTCAGGGCCGCGCGCCTGCACCAACGGGCAAGACCTTGTTCCTCGTGGCTTCCACCATGAAGATCTGCTTCATCTTCTCAACCTGGCCAAATCTGCATGGTTTAGGAACGAGAGAGATGCGGAATAAAGCATTCATCGGGCCTCACTTGCCGGCTTTCTTCCAGCATGGAGATTCCGGTCTTAGGGCATGTTGCGCCCAATCTGTTTGCCAGGGCTTAGGATGGTATCAGTGCGCTTGGTCCGCTTGACTTGCAGGCTCAGTTTGCCGTCTTTCGCCTCCAGCCCGCCCGATCTCAGCCATACACTCAACCCTGCAAACTCCGCTGAACGCCCAGCCCCCTAGAGCCCCTAAGCCCTCGTCCAAACGGGCCCCGAAGCAACTTGAATCAACACTCCAAATTCTTCAAACACCTGGAATTTTTTGGCCTGCTCCGGCATCTGCTTGGCCAAATCATGGGCCTGGGTGTAGTCCTCTGAAAGCTCAACAGGCTGAATTCTCAGTTTGCTTCGAGGGCTTCCTGGAACTCCATCTGCGCCTGAACTTCACAGTTTGAAGGGCCCCACAGGGGGTGTGGCCTTTGCATCCTTTAATGACCTTCTGGCCTCCCAGCCCCTGAATCCCTACACTGCCCTGCGCTTCAAGACATGTGAAACCTCCGACAAAATGCTCCCAGAGAAGTTTCTTGAACAGCGCCCAAGGGCAAAGGGGCAAGGGCCGGGGGCAAGGGTGGTCCTTAGTGAGGTCATAGAGCTCCCAGACATCGGTGTCAGGGTTCCTGGCAGAAGTTCTGCACGGGTTGAGGACGTTGGGTTTAGGGAGGGGCCTACCGGAAAGCTCGTAGAGGCTGAGGGTCCAAGAGCATACCCCTCCAAAATACCCAAAATCCCAAACAATAGTAGGTTCCGCGGTACCCTCGAAGAAAACGGAACAAAGCGTGTAGGGAACGATACCGTTAAAGACAGAAGTTAAAACACAAAACGGCTATGTAACCCTCAGAACCCCTGAGTCTACACCTTGCAAGCGAACCCCAGGGTGACAGCAATGGAGATGCTGAAATTCTTGACACCTGACAAACCATGATTGTCTGGTATCTTGTTACATCGTAGACGCATCTACCTACACCTTCACGGCCCAGTCTCCACTGCTTCATGCGCGTCTCGTTGGGATCCGCCCAGGGAATTCGGGGCCCGAAGACGCTGGCAAACCAGCCGTCCTTTCAAGGGGAGGTTCTGGGCTTCCTGCTTCCTGAGCGCTGTTCTGGCACGAGGGCTTTGAGGGTGCATTTTGTAGAGACCAGTTGCAGTTAAGGCCTTAGGCGGCACAGTCTGCTCTTTCTATGCATCCGTGGTCCTTGTAGACGCCCCGGCTGCCCATGACCTGGCTGCCACTGCCATGGAAAGGATGATCCGACAACCATTCCCTGAACGCTGAAGCATCGAAATGTCACCCATGCTCACCGAAATCATTTACCGGCTGCTCTTGAGCACCTCGAATCGTTACAAAGCCGATGAAAACTCGTTAAGAATCGCACGGAGACTAACAGGCTGGCAGCGGAGCATCCCAAACTTACTGCGCAGCACACGGCCTTAAATCCGAAACAATGAGGCATGTTGAGGCCCTAAACCCTCATCGTTTCCTGTGGAATGTGAGGCCTAAGTAGGCCCACACGCGACTCCATTTCCGAGAATAGGCCTCGAAGTACTGCGAGTCTTTCCGTCCTGTGGCAGATACGTTGTTCCTTGGTTTGAAGCATGCGGGCAGCAGGTCCACTGGGGTTTTGGCAACTGCAGAACCATGAAGGTCATTGGGGTTTCCTGGACGACGTCTACTTCCAACACTGATGTAGCGAACATCATTTTTGGCGATCGAAGAGCCCAGACACCTCTACAAAGATCGGGCACGAGCTGCTCTTCAGGACATTGAAGACGAGCGAACCAGATTAGAAAGCCAACTCCGTGTCGGGGTGCCATGTGTACACCATGGACACGCCATCCAGGGGAATCCTTGCAGAAACTTGGTACTTCTTTGCGGGAGCTTTCTTTGCTTGGGAGCATGGCAAAAGACCATAGATGGCTGTACTTGGGAATGAGGGAGTGGGACGAAAGCTCGCGCAGTTGCTTGGGGGTTGGGGCCATGTGCGAAGTCATGTTTGAATTTTGAAAAAGGGCTTCGGCATGTTCACTAGCAGTTCTGTTGTTGGGACGCGGGTCTGTTTGTTTGGGGCTTCTTCATGGGTATCTACAGAAAATCACGCGCTTTCGTGGCTATGGCAGCTTCATTCAAACTCCTCAGCTCGGCCCTGCAACATGTGGGGACCCTCATCTAAAGGCCTCCAGAGCCCTCAAAAGCCTCCCTCTGCAGCTCCGAATCTGAGCAGCGCCCTCCACGTGCTCGGGCGGAGTGATTCCGACTGCCTCTTCACGCGTGCGGGTGCCAAGGTGTGACCCAAAAATGCAAAACAGGGGCTTGTCGGGGTTTTTGCGGCTGTCGGCCTCGTAGATGGTGGGCGTGATGTCGCAGACATGATGGAACTGGGAGCGCGGAGTCGGGTCCTGGAAGGCTCGACAAGTATCTTGCCCTGTGCCCAAAGGGTGGAGTTTGGGGCCTTGAGAGCCCAAGTGCTCGAACCGATCATAACCCGAATTTGTGATTGCTGGAATCTTCGAAGCAATGAACTTCAGGGCTGCATATCCGGCATTGGGCCATTCATGGCCTTTCATTTTTTCAGGGTATTGTAGGGCTTGAGGACTTCCTGAGTTTGGAGTCAAGCGCATGGAAAACATGTAATGAGGAGTCCACACGCTGGCACCGGCCGTGCTCAAAAACCTCCCAAGGTGGGAGTGCCATCCGGGACACCGGGGAATGCGATTCCGCCCTACAACAGACGCCTGAACAGTGTACAGGGCCGAGACGCGAACGCAGGGAGGCATGGGAAGAGCGAAACAATTCGCGATGTTTTGAGCCTAGTGTACCTCGAGAACGTGACGAGCACGCGAAAACACCGAGAGGGCCGCACGAAATGGAAATGCGGCGCCGGGGCCCGCCAGAAACAGCGAGGTGGTGGGTCGATGTTTGGGGGCCGACGCGCGCCTTCAGTTCCTGTTTGTCTGTCAATGAAGCCATCGTGCAAGCACTGCTTGAGAAACCCATAAACAAATGTACCCACACTTCATGGTACAGTGGCGAGCATGCAGCCGCACAGTCATGCTTGATGACCTTTGGCCAGGACATCACCATGGGGGTTCCTCGGCTGCACGAGCCCGGAGCCCTAGCGAAGCGTTCGTTCACCCGAACCCGAGCCAAATGAAAAACGAAAGCACACAAAAACATGTACAGCAATCACGCACACCGCAACAAATCGCAAAGTGTCGTACAAGCTCTAACAACACTTGTGTCCAGTTCCGGCAAAAACCTCTGCACCAAACTGTAAAAAGGCACTGACCCGAACCCTTAAGGAACATTTAGCCATAAGGATTGTAGAACAAGATGCCCCGACCCGGCAAGAGCACGCCCAGGCACGGGTGCCACCGAAGTGTGCAGCCACAAGTTTGGTGCTCCTGGGCTTCCCAAATCCCAGTCTTCAGCATTCTTTGAGGTGCTGCCATTGACTATGCGGTGTGTATGTGTATAGATATATAGGCATGAATAACAAGATCCGCTCCCTCACGCCCTCTTAGCACCGGTCTGGGGGATTTGCTTTGCTACGGGGCCTCACACCACTAAGTAAGCCTCAGACCAGGAACCCTGCGAGCGGCTTCTTCGCTTGAACGATCCTTCAAGGTATCAGTCAACCCCAAACTCCAAGACCGCTGCCAAGGATCTTGAAAGGCGTGTCCAGGGCCCAGGCCCATGAGCTGTGGTACATGTTGTCCACATGCCTTGAGGTTGGGTGTTGTGACGGGGTTGGGGGGTGGGGCTGGGGGGTTGAGAGGGCTTTCGGGTTTGGGAGGCTTGGGAGGTCGGGGCTTTTACGGTGCCGGCAGCATTGCATCTGCACCCCAACCTTAGAAGCTCACAGCCTGCGTGACCCGAACTCAAAGACGCCATATGTAGCCATAACCCACAATATGTGTCTGTGTCTGTGCGTGATGTATTTTGGAGGGGGGCCGGGTTTATTTAGTGCTTAGGGCTTTAGGCACTAAATAGAGTTCAAGGTTATGGTTTGCCATGTTAGGCTTCAGGGGCTTTGCGAGCTTTCAGCCATGAAGCTTGCAGCTACGTCACTGAGCCTTGTCACTAAACCGGGCGGGCATAGGGCTTGTGGCACCAGACACACCACTAAGGATCCTAAACCCTCAGCCGCAAGCCCTGATAAACCCCAAAAAGCCACTACCAGGCTGCCAGTCCAGGATGCTTGGATCCCAGGGCACTCAGCCCGCCGAAATCGCGCTCCAACACCTTCTGAAATTTTGTGTTTTTAGGGCTTTAGGGTCCAGAGTTCGAGTGGTTGGGTTCTTGATACATCAAGAACCTGGCTTCTTGATGCATCAACAAAACCCTATCGCAGGTGCGTTGATTCGGGTAACTGGGTGCCCAGCAAAAGGTGTTTGATTGAGTGTTCGGGCTTTGGTGCTCAAACGTTCAGCACTTTGGCTTGGCTTGGCTCGATCGCCGGCCGTGACCAAGATTCGCAAATACCCATTTGCATTTCAGGGCTTAGGGCTGAGGCAGAGGGCTTGGCACCACTGCCACCCTGTAGAAGGCACTGCGTGGGGAGAAGGACCCCCAATTCGCGCTCCAAAGCCAAAAGCTAACCCTGTCTGGGTGTGACCCGTCCTCGATCTGTTGCTGCGCGGTGCTGGGAAGCATGTTCTCTGCTAGCAGCTCATCGACCGTGCCTTTGCTTGTGAACCCTTGCGGCTCGTTCCGAGTTACTCGCCCCAACTGAAGGGCGGTCCTGACTCGGCGTCGAACGTATACCCCTACACCCCAATAACTTGGAAGCCTGCCCGAAGACTCACAAGCCCGCTATGTTTGGAATACGAAGGTCCCGCTACTCACAAACTGAGCCAAGTCGCCGTGCAGACCTTCGGCAGAGGCTCCATTGTCTCCGAGGATGTAGATCACCTGTCTCTCTGTATGCGCATGTCTTTCGGACGGAGTTTGGGATCGAGGCTTCGAAGAGGCCGGTCACCGTCTTGTGGATGTGCTTGCGAGCTTCCGACACATGTAAAGACCTTTGATGTCTAAGTAGATACGTTATCTGAGATGCTTGGTGCTTACGGTTTCGTTAAGTTTCCGAAAAACTCTTGTTACCAAGATCGGATGCGGTAAGGGGGGAGTTCCAACGTGATGTCTACGGACCCGGAGCTTCGGGGTGCAGGTTTGGAAGACGCCTTCTGCTGTCCCTGAAACTGTCACTCATGAAGGCCGGAGCCTTCCTAGACGCAACCTTTCCGGAGCAAGAGATAGATTCACTCGTGGGCTTTGTTTTGGGGACTTCTGGAGTTCGGAAGGTTGGGTAATTTGAGTCCTCACCGAGCCACCAGCGTGTTGTTGAACAAGCCTTGGCGCTCCAGCTCCTCGTCACAGAAGGCACAGGAACTGTAGGAATGCTATGCTGCCAATGTCTGTGTAAAAAAAGTCGCCGGCAACCTTCCCGACATGACGTTTGTAAACCTAGCAGCAAACGGCCACTCCGTGATGAAGGCCTGATAGGCATCACACTTGTTTGGCTCCGTGTCGCCGTGTCAACACCTTTACGGTGTTAATTACCCTTAAAACCCTATGCAAACATATTACCTTGAAAAACCAGAGCCCTCAAACCCTCAAACCCTCAAACCCTCAAACCCTAAACCCCTAAAGCCCTAAACCCAAAAGCCCTAAAACCCTAAAACCTCATTTTCCTGAAACCTGAAACCCTAAACTCCCTAAAACCCTAAAACCCTAAACCCCTCAACCCTAAATCCTAAATTGCCCCCACAGGGGGACCACACGCCGGGGATTGAGGGACTGGCAACGCTGCACCATGTGTATAACGCTGCACCATGTGTATGTATATGTATATGTATATGTAAAAGTCTATGTCCATGTCCATGTCCATGTCCATGTCCATGTCCATGTCTATGTCTATGTCTATGTCTATGTCTAACCATGTGCATATGCATATGCATATGCATATGCAGATGTATGTGTATGTGCATGTGCATTGTGAAGTCGACCAGCACTGGACTTGCACTAAGCCAATGCAATCACAGCCCGGTCACGCTGTTTTACGACTTCGCGAGTTCAAGCACTTGTGCGGCTACGCCTGAGTGCGTCCGGTCGGACCGCACAGCAACCTAAGAGCTACTGTACGACTCTACCGTGCTCAAAGGCACAAGCTCGGTACTTGAGCCAAAACATTGGCATTGTTACGAATTGCAAAACTACACATGCAAGGAAAACTACAGTACTGGTTCTGGCAGCTTTGCACATGCAACGTGCGTGCTTAGACCTGCTCACATTCGCCCCTCAGCCGAGGCTTCCAGCTCATCTCGAGCTCGGAGTGCAGCAGGCACTCGCGCTGAACACAGAAAGGGAAGGGAGAGGGTGTCGCGTGCGACCGCGGTGGTCCGCACATCATGAGCATTGGCATGCGGCAGGGACGCCAGCCCGCACCACCAAAACGAACGCACGACGACTGCAACCCTCAGCAGCCCTTAACAACCCTTTCCCAGGAGGTCCTCACCCTTTTGCTGGTGGGCGAGGCTCTTGAATCCTCGAGCTGGTCTCTAGCTGCCAGTACGCAGACTATGGTACAAATGGTACACTGTACACACTACCGGCCCTAAGCTACGGCTACGGCTACTCACCTATCCAGAACTACCCTACGGGCTACCGGACTCAGCGAGAGCCGCGCACATAGCTTGTGCCGCAGGCAGTGCAGCTCGCACGCGCTTCGGCGAGCGCACTGCCGCGACCAGGACACGGTCCGCAGCAGCCGCAACGGGCTGAGAAGAAAAGTGCGGGTAGGCAAAATGGGCAGGGAAAACCCCTGCCGCGGCTCTTTGCCCGCAAGCAAAACACAACCAAAAGAGGCTCGACAGCGTGCCGTGCTGTGATGCCTAAGAAATCGCGTGGAAACCATTCCACGCCGCGCCGACTGGCCGCAGCCTACTCGATACCCTGTGGAGCAGAGTTGGGGGCGCGAGTGGCGATGCCAGCAACGTTGGAGCTACTGGCTCGCTCCAACTGAGGGCGCTTTGCAACCGCCTCATCGAGGGAGAATGCCTCAGCCGACACCCTTTGGAAATCCTCGATGTAGGACTGCGCGACCGGGTGCGTCTTGGGGACCTCAAGCCTAAGCCCTGCCTCCGCATTGGCCTTGCTGCTTGTGGTAAAATTGAGGCTCCCAATCAGCACCACCGCGCCATCAGGCCGCAGTAGGCAAAGGGCCTTGGCATGGTGAAGCCCTTGGATCCCGGTGCCTACTTTAGCCCCGCGGCCGTCGCGAGCATAGGCGTCGCGCACGGATGCGCCGCAACCCACCTTCACCTCGGCGCCTGCAGCCGCCAAGCGTTTCAACGCTTGCCACTGCAGTTTGGTGCGGTGGCATTGTCCCATGTCGGCGACAATCCGAACGCCTGCGCCCTTGCTGAGCGACGCTTCGATTGCCTCGATGCAGGATGGGCAATCTAAGCTGTACGCCCGGATGTAGATCACATCCTCTGCTGCTCCAGACCCAAGCAGCGTTTGGGCGGCCTGAACGTATGGCCCGCCCGCAAGGAATTCCACCTCTTTGACTGGAGAACTCCTAGCGGGAACTGGGCCCTTGTTCCTCCGGCTGGGTGTGCGCGCCACAGTGGCAGTGGCGGCACGTTGCACGGAGCCGGACTGTGCGTGGGCTGCGCTCGCTCCATCTGCTGGGGCCGCGGCCAGGTCACGACCCGCGAGCCCCTGAAAGCAGGAGAGCCCGCGGCTCTTGGCCGCAAGTTGGGAGAAACATCCT